AACTTATTTCCTACTTGTCTAGTATTGCACCTCGAGTATCTTGAAATCTGTGTCTATTGTCTAGCGGTTTGAATCTTTTGAGTCTGCGCGTATCAGTCTGTTCGTTTAGTAGTTCGTTTGCTAACATGTTTGGGTGAAGTTCGAGTTTGAGAGTGTATTTGTCGGTAAAGTTTTAATTTCATTTTTGACGGTAGGTATCTGTAGGTCATTGCGTATGTCATTATTCGTTATATACCATGGGGAGTTTGTTATCATGCGGAGAAGTTTTGCCTGAAATCTCTCGAGGATCTCGATGTTGGACACGGAGGATGAGCCCCATAACTGTATACCATATGTCCATATCGGTTTTACGACGCATTTATAGATTATTATTTTGCTTTGAATTGACAATTTTGATTTGGGTCCTAATAGCCAGTACATTTTGCGCAATTGTGTGCCTAGTTGTTTCCTTTTTTGCCAGATGTGTTTCCTCCAATTTAGTCTTCGGTCCAGGTGTATGCCAAGGTATTTCAAGAGGCTCAACGTGGCCCAGAAGTTAGTGGGTACCGAAGGGACCGTCGCGACAGTGATTTCTTTTATTAGGGTAGAACGCGCTGGGTCGAAGGGTGTGCCGGAGCGGTTGGAGAAGACATACAGAAGGGACCGTGGATGTCCCATAAAGCCCTGGGAGCCGAGAGGAGAAGGAAAACTTGTTTCCTGAAAGGCACGCGGCGGTCGTTGGGACCGTTGCGTAAGCGCATCTCGCAGCGGCGCGACGCTCGGCGTTCGGCGCCCGTTTCCTTCGCTCGTGCATCATTCACTTTCCATATTAATCCGCTCGGAAGGCTGACCTTCGGCTGGACTTTAGACTCGAGAACGACTGAAATTCGACCTCGGCGCCGCGGCCCTCCGAGGCCGATATCAGATTCTGGGACGCGATCCGTGGACCTGGGCAACGTGCGATATCTCGATATCCTTTCGTCGGGACAATTTCTATCGCCGGAGGTAAAGGGGCGAGGGATTATCGAGGTTTGGAAGAATTTTGGGATGTTCTCGCGACGACGGAGAGTAGTCGATAGGTGTAACGATCGTTGAACTTTCGTGAAAAATGAATTTAAATATTTCGAAATTATTATGATTATTGAAAGGACGACGTAGAAAATGATCACTCTGCAGCGGATTTTAAGCACTTCTGGAAAATATGTTTGATTACTTGTAGGTTATTACTGGGTAGTGGATTTTTATGCAAAATAGAAATTGTCCACGTCAATTGAAAGATGTAGAAAGTAAATAGTAAGTTTGTTCTTTCTTAATATTCCTTAACATTTGTACATTCGTTGTATTTTTTTTATCTTTTGAATTGCATTTACATAAATTTTGTGAACATTTTCAGTTCATTTTGTTTAATTTTTTCGCTATTCCATATTTCGTCTATACGTACTTCCCATAAATGCATAAAACCAGCATAAAAGCAGTCTAATTATTTTTAAAAGAAAGGATTGAACAGAAGAGATTGCTTATCAAACTCTTATTTCTTGTAGCAGACGTAGAAAATGGTTACTTTGCAGCGGATTTTAAGCACTTGTGGAAAATAAGTTTGGTCACTTCTAGATTATTACTACATTATTACAGCGGACTTTTATGCAAAATAAAAAGTGTCCACATCAATTGAAAGATATTGGAACTAAATAGCAAATTTGTTCTTTCTTCAATCATTTTAACAGATTGAGAATAATACATTAACATTTGAAAATTCTTTGTATTCTTTCACTATTTTAAATTGCATTTACATAAATTTTGTCATAAACGCATAAAGATCCATAGTCTAGTAACAACTAGACTGCAGACCTTTATGCAAAATAAAAATAGTCTGCATTGTTTGCAAGACATAAGAGCCAAGTGCGATCTTGTTTCTCCCTTAAATAATTTTAATAGGTTCTAATTAACATGTGAACATTTCCAGTTGTTTTTTTAAATTTTTTCATTAATCTGGTTCTAAGATACTCCGACTCTAAATACAATAAACTCAAATTGTACTAAAAAATAAACAATTTGGGAAGAGGAGATACGATTACTCGAGCCCTGCGGCTCGTTCTTATAGTTGTTCATAATCGGTAACTATAAAAACGAGTCGCAAGTAGGCTATTCTTCCGAAATCGTCCGTTCGTTGTACCCAATCTGAGCGTCAATTAGGTAGAATTTACAGTAATTGCGAAACGATAAATATAGCCTCACGTCACGCCGCTGATTCGCGGATCGGAGAAGCGGATAAGAATTGTAAATATTTCTAGCTTTTCCGGAGCGGGAATTCCGAAAAATATTTTACGATTCACGTCTGACCCGAATTTCACCAAAGAGAAATCACCGGGCGAATTCGAGCAAAATAATCCGCGGATAGGTAGCAGCTATTAGTATCAAAGTATTTTTGGACTGATAACGCAGGCTGCGCTGCTTACATCGTAACGATGTTAGCCGACTGTTGGTTTTCTAATTGTTTATGTTGACGTTAGTGCTCGCTCGTGCCATGGGTCCCACGATTTCCATCTCGGTTTCGCTATTCGTTTCGGAGCGAACTCGCGCGGGAAAGAGTCCGCGTAACGGGATATCGTGGACAGGTATCGTCTAAAACCGTCCGGTGACTGCACCACCTGTGTCACCGTGTCGTATCCTTCGGTCTTTTCCTGTTAAAGGCCGCGCCGAATACAAGTTACGATGACAAATTTCGGTACGCGTAACCGGATCGACGCGGAACCCGACCGACGGGACGGGTTCATGTGACATTTTAATTTAAATATAATATTTTATACAATATTTTAAAATAATTTATTAGGATTTAAATTATTTAATTAATATAAAAATAATTTAAAATGTAACGTTAGGATTATAATTTATTAGGTATTTACATTACAATAATAATTTTATTACTATGAATTTTANATTTCTAGCTTTTCCGGAGCGGGAATTCCGAAAAATATTTTACGATTCACGTCTGACCCGAATTTCACCAAAGAGAAATCACCGGGCGAATTCGAGCAAAATAATCCGCGGATAGGTAGCAGCTATTAGTATCAAAGTATTTTTGGACTGATAACGCAGGCTGCGCTGCTTACATCGTAACGATGTTAGCCGACTGTTGGTTTTCTAATTGTTTATGTTGACGTTAGTGCTCGCTCGTGCCATGGGTCCCACGATTTCCATCTCGGTTTCGCTATTCGTTTCGGAGCGAACTCGCGCGGGAAAGAGTCCGCGTAACGGGATATCGTGGACAGGTATCGTCTAAAACCGTCCGGTGACTGCACCACCTGTGTCACCGTGTCGTATCCTTCGGTCTTTTCCTGTTAAAGGCCGCGCCGAATACAAGTTACGATGACAAATTTCGGTACGCGTAACCGGATCGACGCGGAACCCGACCGACGGGACGGGTTCATGTGACATTTTAATTTAAATATAATATTTTATACAATATTTTAAAATAATTTATTAGGATTTAAATTATTTAATTAATATAAAAATAATTTAAAATGTAACGTTAGGATTATAATTTATTAGGTATTTACATTACAATAATAATTTTATTACTATGAATTTTAATTTAAATATAATATTTTATATAATATTTTAAAATAATTTATTAGGACCAAATCGACTCGACGGGACGCGATGGTTCTGTCGCGATCGCTCGGTTTTGCCTCGGGTCATGCCGAACCAAAAAAGCAACGAGTGCGAGAAAAAGAAACGTCGAATACGCGAAAAGAGCGTGGAATACGAAAAGAGCGTCGAGCATGGAAAAGCGCGATACGAAGCCGACCGCCGTAACTCGCGTCCGTGCCAAGAAAAATACCGACGTCCATTAAACGCCGTTTGCCATCCGAACTATGGATCCGCGCTCCAATTTAGCCAGGCCTTAAACGTACGGTTTCTTCGTCGATGAAACGTCGCCGACTCGGCAACGCAAGGTCTCCGCGAACGCGCGAAGATCCGCGACGGAATGATAACGCGGCGCGCACATCCGCGGTCTAATTACGTTCTAGTTAATTGCGCGCGGGATCTCTGCCGGGGCCGTGACGCGTCTCGAGGAGGGGCCCCAGGTGTTCGGAACACCCTGTATACACGACCGCAGTGAATCACCGAATCACGCGTTCCTCGTTTCGCGATCATTTGGACTCGCCTCCAGGCGCGTTGCGCAATCGATCATCCAACGACGCGGCTAACAGCGCACGTTTCTGTTTCAGGTACACGCAGATGACGCGATGACGCTGCACTGGTGGATGCACTGGTTCTGGGTTACCGCTCAATTTCTCGGTGCGTTCTAAATAATCATCGGCGATCAAGGACGACAACGCGACGCGTGGCGTTTTTGCCTTTCACGCGGCCGCGGCCGCGAACAAAACCTTTTCGCTCGTTCACGGTCCGGATGAAAATTGTTCCGAAAGAAACGCGAAATCGCAGACGAGGCGTCTCCGCGGCCAGGGATCAAGGTCTCTGCGGCGAGGATCCGCGATCCTCGACACGGTTTCCGTCGATCCGCAGCCGGGACCTCGATTACTGCGCAATGGCCGAGCTTCGACCCTCCGGCTGCCACAACGCACCCCCGCGAACGCTGTCGCGAGGCGAAACTTTCCAATTTATGGCCATTTTATAGTTGATTCCGTAGCCTTGCGACCGTACATTTCGTAACAGGCATTCGCGAACAGAAATTTTCTTATTGCTTCTCCCCGAACTTGCGCCAGCTAGTCGCGCATGCTGTCGCGACTTTTCATCGCGTCCGCGATATTTTTCTTTCGAAGCTTTTTATTTGTCTTACTTTGTTCGCTTGTATCGCTACATAAAATCTCTCCAATTGTTATTACTTCGCAAAGGCTTGTTCTACGCGCATCTCTGAATCAATTTTACTATCGTTATTGTATTATTGTTACAAGATTATACGAAATCCGGATCGAAGTCGCTTAAACGATCTAGCTCTTCGGTGAAAGCACAGCGGAGGCTTCGTTTCGCCTCGGTATCGGATGTACACGCCCCTCCAAAAGTATTAGAACACCTGCCTATTTCGTGTAAACCGTAATATTCCGCTCAGTTTGAAAGTAATGTCCGCGAATCTGCGATATGGAATCGCATTGTCGACGGTAGACATTAATGTACAAGTGTTTGTTATACATTTATTACATTTTGTTCATTGAAACGAACGCCAGGGTACGTTTCGTACTCTTCGCTCGGTGCGACGTGCGTCGATTCTTAATATATTTTCTCTTAATACGTGGAACATACTACGAAATGCATGGAATCAAAGAGCATCAAAAACAACAGATACGCTGATAAAACGGATGCCGAAGTTAGTCCGAGAGGTAATCAAAAAACGCGGTGGATATGTCGACGAGAAGAACGTTCAATTCTCGTTCAGTAGATCGACTTGTTATTTTCATAACAACGTGAAATATATTCGCGTACTTGTTACAGTTCAATGTAATTAACTTCGGAATTCGATTAAAAAGAATTAGAGCAATTTCATGCCGGATTTTCGTATTTATCTAATTTTCTGTAAGTGTAACACTTTTGGAGGGGGGTGTATCTACGAAACGGTCCGATCGAAACGACTTGGTCGCACGGCAGTTGCCCGGCGAGAAGACCAAGAAAACCAACGGAACGGAACCAGACGGAGTGTTCTAACAAAAGCATGCTATGTTCAGTGATTCTAGGGAACCCAGTGCCGTCCAGCACGGCGGAGCCTCGCGTGCAGAGTCGTCCGAGCTCGGAGCCGACGCCGGAAGTGTCCTCTGTGGACGCGGAAATGGTAGAGGCGCGACCGGGCTTCCGTGTAGCAAAGGCGATCGGTTTCAACCCGGCGACGAACGCGGCCATGGTCCTCGACAGACTGCCCTCGACGACGGACTCGGCCCCCGCGGAGGCCAGAGGGAACGTCGTGGTGACGAGCGTGGACCCCGTCGCCGAGGACTTCCGGCGTGACGGGATTGCGCGCGCCGTTAACGCGACGAGCCTGGAGCCGATCGGTCGGCCGGCGACTTCGGACAGGATTCGAAGCCCCGCGACGAAGAAGGACAGCAAGATCACCTGGATCCTGACGTCGAACAAGACGGCCAGGCCGAAGTACGAGCAAGAGGAGAGACTCGACGAGAACCGGAACGGTTCGACGGTGGACTTCGTCGAGGACCTCACGGTGTTGCCTCTTCAGGAAGAGGTGTCTAGAATCAGGCTGGTACTGAACAAGACTAAATCGTCGACGCTGTTGTCCGCGTCCTCTTCGTCCTTGGCCTCGTCCGTCGGCGCCTCCGGCATCAGGTCGTTCAACCGGTCCGACGGCGACGGCGACGTCGAGATCGACGAGGAGCTAGTCAAGCCGCAGCTGTTCGCCACGGCGGCGTCGATCCTCGAAGGTGATCCATTTGCGGAATCTCGTTGTTCGAAAGATTCTTTTATTTCCTGTCGGACAGATGCGCACCGCTTTCTTTCAAATTCGTCTCGTTCAAATTTTGTCGCAGGGGTTACTGCGACGGTTTATATAAAATAATCCGAGAGAGTTTTTGGTTTTTATATAACGAGAACTTTAATATAACTTGTAACAAAAGGCGATGAGGTACAGTGTGTAGAAGGTAAAGGTAAACGAGTGACGGATGAGACAGAAATATGAACACGTTGAGAGTCGGAGGAAAACTTGCTAACTGACTTCTCCCGGTCGAGAGGTCCTCGTATTTATTGGGGAGAACGTATTGAAATTGGTAAGGGAAAGTCCTTGGGAAGGGCGAAGGCCTTTCCCGAAGATTTTCCGACCGGGGTGATCCGGGACCTATGGTCCGAAGCTGTGTCCCAACGTTTTTATTGTTTTATTGCGGTGTGTACGCCTTGCGTCGGAAAAACCCGAAAAAGGCATATGCACACCCCGCTTTTGAAGGACGTGTCTTTTTATGTCTGGTCCGCCACAAAATTATTGACCAAGATCGTCGACGAAGAACGCATCTTTCTCGATTCGAATTACTAATTAGGTCTGAAATTGGATGTTGTAATCGTTCAAAAGATTCGTTTGTTCCTCGCTAGATAAAATGCACCGTTTGCTTTCAAATTCGTCTCATTCAAATTATTGACCAAGATTGTCGACGAAGAACGCATCTTTCTGGATTCGAATTATTAATTAAGTCTGAAATTGGATGTTGTAATCGTTCAAAAGATTCGTTTGTTACTCGCTAGATAGGATGCACCGCTTGCTTTCAAATTCGTCCCATTCAAATTATTGACCAAGATCGTCGACGAAGAACGCATCTTTCTCGATTCGAATTATTGGGTTCTCCGGAAAGTTCGTGCCGATTTTACATAGCCAAGCTTCACAATATGATCGTGGATGGTTGATTTTGATTTATTTAGCACTCCTGCTAATTGACGTAATGTTGAGCGTGGGTTGTTCTCGATTTCTGTTCCAATCATATCTTCGGCTGTGGTGGACGGCCTACCTGGGCGTTCTTAATCTTCAAGGTCGAAATTTCTAGCTTTAACCCTTTGCAGTCGAAGCTATTTGAATTCGAAATCCAAAACATAATTTCTGATCTACAGTATTTCTATNTTTCTAGCTTTAACCCTTTGCAGTCGAAGCTATTTGAATTCGAAATCCAAAACATAATTTCTGATCTACAGTATTTCTATTTTATATAATTTATCGCGACTCATGCGTATGAAATTGGGCCTATTGGCAAGTACAATGCAATTTTAATAGTCTTTTTTAAAGTATAAACGAATTTGATGCTCTTCGAATGATTTTGAAAAATAGCATATCAATTTTTAGTGGCGCCTCAGAGTCGCCATTCGAGTGCAAAGGGTTAAACCGAGCAAACTACTTCCGCACAGTTCTTTCGGCTACAGCATTCTCGCCATAAACAGCGCGTATCTTATTTGCCGCTTGTGTGGCATTTTTGCCCTTCCGGAAAAAGAAAAGCATTAAATGCCTATAATGCACTTTATTTGCCACCATATTCTAAGGCGTACAAAACTGATAAAAATTAACGAATCGTAAACGAACTTTTCTCCAAATATGGCTGAAGTTATCTCTTTTAGGATATGTACACGTGCCATTTGTTTTCAATAATTGTGATATATTCAGTCAGGTCTCTCACGCTACCTACCGAAAATCGGCACGAACTTTCCGGACAACCCAATACTAATTAAGTCTGAAATTGGATGTTGTAATCGTTCAAAAGATTCGTTTGTTCCTCGCTAGATAGGATGCACCGTTTGCTTTGGAACCCGTCCTATTCAAATCGTTGACGCGAAGACTCGTCGGCATGAAACGTTTAGGATTCGGGGAACGAGACATCTTTCTCGGTTCGAGTTACTGATTAAGTCTGAAATTGGATGTTCTAGTTGGCGTGAGCGAGTCCACGCGTCTAAGCCGAGCCAGGAGTGCATTTCCCAAAGATTTCCAAAGGGATCAGGTCCAAGGGGACCATCTGCCCGACTACAACAACGGCGAGAACTCGAAGCAAGAGAGCTCCTCGAGGTCCACCGTAGACATCGCCGCCATCACCGGAAGCTGTCTCGCGACTGTTGTCATACTCAGCACAATGGGCAGCCTCGGATTCATTATGTACAGGTAATTATCTCGGCGCGGAGCACTAAGCCGCTCGGAAAGGTTCTAACGAGTTCGCTGTTGCAGGCGCAGGTACCTGAATCCGCCGCAGACCTTGAATAGCGATAAGTGCAGCAACCCCGATAGTTCCGGTTACATCGACGATTCCACTATTCGTGTGAGTAATACGTAGTCTACGGAAACGTACGGTCGACGGGGGTATCGAAATGCACGAATGAAAGAAGGACAGAATCTCCGCTGTAACCTCGAAAGAGAGAGATTACGATTATAGTTCGAGAACATTCGAGCAGATTCTTCGAATGCTGGTTGACAAGCATGTTCATAAAATTCTCAAAAATTGCATCGCAATCGGGTGCGTTCTTAATTTTGTTGTTGCGAGCCAGAGGAAGCGTCTTTTTGTCCTTTGACATTTGTGCGTTCGATAAGTTGGTTTATTGAATAAGGAAATGCAGAATATGACCACTTCCGATTCTTGCAGGATAACTCCGAGGAGATGTACAGCCTGGACAACGACTCGTTCCTAAACTCGTTGGAGGCGATGACAATACAGAATTACTGGACGGACAGCGTGAAACACACGAAGCTATGACAAAAGAAGATAATCCAGCCGGGGAAGAGGATGGAAACGTTCAGTATTTCCGACGGTGAAGCGCACGAACAAATTTCATTGTTGGAGCAATAGTACTTAAACTCGACGCGTGCCGTGCGCTGCGTTTATTTGTTGTTGTTTTTTAACGGTATGGACGATAGTGGATTCCGGTAGCGTTGTTTTCTTCTGTACTTTCTTTTTTCTTCCTTTTTACTTCCCTCCACTCTCTCGCTGAAGCGAACAAAGCGTTTTTATCCGTTCCCGCAGGATCCGATGGTAGTCGAACTCGCCTACCCCGAGGGTGAGAGAGCGTTGACGACACATCAAAATTACAGGACGCGCACGCATTCCTATATTCCCGTGATCATCGTGTCCTTTCCGATGCGACTGGGAATATATTCTTACACACGCCTGGATTTTGATTTCGTCACCAGCACCGTTCCGTATATATATTTTTCTACCGTTACTATTCGCGGCCGGCGAACAACCTCGTTCAGGCCGCAGTGAAATCGGTTGGTGCAATAGAATGTACTTTATCGATGCGCGACGGTTAATGATAAAATCCTTAGAACATTAAGTACAAATAAAACCGTTGATTTCTAGTTAGATATAAAATAGGGACGGAGAGGGAGAGAGGTAATTTCATAAAAACGAATTCCTAACGAAGATACTAAAGTCGCCAGAGAATACTTCCAAACTGCGAGGGTAGCCACCAAACTTTATCACCGAATCGAACAAGCGGCGTTGCCCGAGTCGTTCAACAATACTTGCATGAACGTCCGAGGGATGAAAATAGCCCCGTCCGAGGTCGAAAGCCATATTCGGTCGATTAGATTAGACTTCAATAAGTTTAAATGTCCGACTACCTTTTAAAAAGTGTATTATACATGACCCCGTTATCGAGGACTATTTCCATTCCTTGAATCGAAATCAATCGCTGGACTGCGGACCGTTGCGCGAAATAAAGAATTATCCGCGTCAATTCCAAGCAACAAGAGTGAGATTGAGAGAAGGTCTGACTGTAATTGTTACGTTGGAAATGGTAAACGGTATTCTGAACATTACCGCAGTCTAGTAACGATAGTTAGAACAATATATGTGAAATATTTTTTGAAGTCAATGTATACAAGTTTCGCTCGGGTAACGCTTCCTGCGAGTTTCTTTTGCTTATAGTATTTTAACAGACCTCTGTCTGTATTGTTTTATGATTTAGACGCGATCCTCGGTGACCTTTCGTGACCCCGTGCCATAAGGCACTGAACTATCGTTAAAGGCTGCAACGTATGTAGTGGCTTTCTATTTTATGATGCAAAGAGACAGGCTGGCCGTTGTTACCTTTAAGAGAACTCTAAGCGAAAGAAATATTTCTACGCGATAAAGTAAAGAGAGGATATCCTGTATATATGTACTATGAATTTCTATTGATACGACCACGTTTAGGTATCTCCTCTTAATTTGTGATCAAGCTTCAAAAACGTTTCTTACGGTCTTCGAACCTGAAAGAGAGTACACATGGTTCTAATAGGGTAACTGGAGAACAATTGTAACTCGCTTTGCGCACGTTACTTGTCGGCTTCAAGAACACAGACTATTTTCGAAAAAACAAAAATGAAAAAACGAAACCGGGCTAACGAGAGGATCGGACCAAATACATTATGTAGTTTGTAGCTTCACGCCTTTACAACATATCCAGCAAAACCGTTCGCGAAGCGGAGATATTCGATTCGTCTTTTTCCACTAACGACTTCTAGCTTGTATATATGTATGTATGTACGTGTACAATAATTACGAATGTATCTTTTAGGTGTGCAAATTTTCTGAGATTTACGTTCTAGTAGAAGGTTAGCGCGTGTTGTTTCAAATATATTTCTATACCGAGCCTCCCGCTATCGAGGAAAAACAGAGTTTATTGTGATAGATCGTAGCGTTTAATAAATGTAAAATTATCACCGATTCATCGTATGGTAACGGTTGTGAATAAACCACTCGTATTATTATTAATGCGTATGTTTTCTTTTACATTAACTAACAAGACCACCTGGTTCCTTGGTATAAGCAGGATTCGAATCTCTTTTTATGAAGGAATTTATTATTCATTTATTATTGCAAATGACAATTGCTGACGCTGCTGCCATAAAATTCCATTATAATTTTCTATTATAATTTAATAAACCACTCGTATTATTATTAATGCGTATGTTTTCTTTTACATTAACTAACAAGACCACCTGGTTCCTTGGTATAAGCAGGATTCGAATCTCTTTTTATGAAGGAATTTATTATTCATTTATTATTGCAAATGACAATTGCTGACGCTGCTGCCATAAAATTCCATTATAATTTTCTATTATAATTTAATAAACCACTCGTATTATTATTAATGCGTATGTTTTCTTTTACATTAACTAACAAGACCACCTGGTTCCTTGGTATAAGCAGGATTCGAATCTCTTTTTATGAAGGAATTTATTATTCATTTATTATTGCAAATGACAATTGCTGACGCTGCTGCCATAAAATTCCATTATAATTAATGCGTATGTTTTCTCTTACATTAACTGACAAGACCACCTAGTTAGTTCCTTGGTATAAGCAGAATTTGAATCTCTTTTTACGAAGCAATTTATTATTCATTTATTATTGCAAATGACAATTGTTGACGCTACTGCCATAAAATTCTATTATAATTTTCTGAAGATTAAAAATCGCGGCACATGTGACAAGTGGCGCCTCTTGTGGCGAAAGATGGAAGCTGTGTTCAGAGTCCGTACAGCGCCAATTAGTAAATGGCAAAACGCTCAAACTGCTAGCCAAACAGTGGCGTCCCTGGTGGAGAAATCTGGAAGCTCTGTTCAGAGTCTATACAGCGCCAATTAGTAAATGGCAAAACGCTGAAACAGTTAGCCGAAATCAACGGTTGGTAATTTTGTCGATCAGTTTGAACGTTTTGCCACTATGCGTAATGGCGTGATATTTAAATTTTATCGGGGAAAATGATTCTTGCCAACAATTTTTACATTGTATTTTACAGGAATTAAAAAATTAAACAGTTTAATAATCTATGTAATAGTAATTTAATAGTCTGTTAAAAAATTGATCTCTCTTAACTATTTTACAATAATTTTACTTGCTATGAAGATACGATTTGATTGGCATATTGTCGATTGCTATTAAAAGTCGCAGATGAACAAATACTTTCTTCTACCAATCTTCTACTATATCAATAGTAGCGTAACTTTTATGCATGATTCAGTACAATAAACGTTATTCTAATCTAATGAAAGATAATCTCTAATTATAATAAATCCAAACTAAGAATAATTGTATAAGAAATTCATGGATACAAATGGCGATATTCAAATAATTAAACATACTAATTATCCATGAGCAGGGGAACGAATAAGAAAGGATTTCAAGCCGATCTGGAAGAGACTGTCATTCGCACAACGTCCATTTACGTAATTGAAGAAAAAGGACGATCTAAGGAGTGATCTCCTCGGGATTTTCTCGAAGGGTGGGCTAAATCTGTCACGAACAGATACATCTGCCGCTAACATATTTCATCCCCCACGAGCACCGGCTGCATATAAAAGTATCGCACCTAGGATGCAGTCAGCGCACAGTTAGCTTGCACGTCCAACGGAAGTATTCGCAGTAGTCTTTTGGCCGAGAGAAACAGGTAATTACATTATTATCTATCTGTGAAACCAACTTCCTATTGTTCACGATTACAAAACTTCAAACGAATCAAGCATTCTGTTAATTATTACTGTTAAAATTATTAGTACAGTGTATCAAGATACTTCAATGGCTTCAATCAAATGCATGATCATCCTGATCGTTATGTTGGGAGTGGTACACGAGACAATTGGAGTACTAGAGGACACGGATAAAAATTTTTTGGGACTGAATTATCCATATGGGGGAGGAATGGTAAACAAAAAATGAATACGAAGCGTTATAATATATATATATATATATCCGCAAACTAAAATAACTTTTTGTATAATTATACTTGCAGGACAACGATTTACAACTGGTCAGACTTCTACTGTTGCCTCAACGTTTGTATCATCCTAAACGCAACTCCGAACTGATAAACTCATTGTTGGCTCTACCGAAAAATGTGAATAACGTTGGGAAATGAATTACCGAGTAAACTATCCCGAAAATCATATTACGTTCTATACGAATAATAAATATTAAGAAAATTTCTGGACGTTGTAACGTATCAGGCTTAATAAAAATGTAGAAATATACGTTTTTGTATTTCTCCTCAATTTTCCATCCGCTGCAACAAGTACCAATCCCCACGTTGATAATTTTCAAACAAACATAAACTTTTCAATATCGATGTTATACGATGTGACTCTTGGAAGAATTACAGTGCAAAGTTTTAGCATGTGACATTCTTTAATTCTTTACACGCACACATTTTCATCGAATGTTTGCAATTAGTGTACAAAGCTTTATCTATAGTAAAAAAGTTTCTTCGATTTGGGCTCGCTGAACTTGTGAAGAGTTAAAACTTTAAATGGAAACCACCGCCGACTGGAGGCTGTCTTCCACCTTCCGTGAGACCCATGTGGAAACCGGAATTACTTAAGTCAGCTTCATCGCCGTCACCTAATTGCTTATACTCTTTACCACCGCTTGGTGGTTTGGGTGAAGCGTTCGCTGTTCTGATACCAAGTTCTGACTTGGCTGGCCATGTGGGGAACATTTGTGGGTCGATCGGTAGAGGAGCTTCTGTAAAATAGCCGTGATTCAACGCGTCCTCCGCTGTCACTCGTTGCTGAGGATCGTATGTAAGAAACCTGCAAATATATTTTCGTTTTAGGTAGTGCAAAAATTGAATAGAAGCAGTGCAGAAAATTTAAGTAACAAAAAAAAACTCACTTGTTTAAGAGCTCAATTCCTAAATCTGACAGTGACAAGCTAAAACGTTGTCTCAAATTGTTCACAGGATAATGAGCAAATGGAATCTTCTGCACCATTGGAAGTTTACTGTAGCCTGGCCATATTCGATCATTCGGCGTTCCTAATTCCTTGAATATCCTATTTAATTGATCGATCTCTGATTTCCCCGGAAACAATGCCTCCATTCGTAATAATTCCGCAAAGATACAACTGCAAACAAAATATTATTTTTTTATCGCTGTGGTCAACGCTATAAAAATTATCTGGTATTGTTCTCTTGTTGTATGCTTACCCGACAGACCACATGTCAACGGGAGTACTATACTCTTTCCCGCTTAACAGCAACTCGGGAGCTCTGTACCAAAGCGTTACGACAATTGGAGTGTATTGCCTCAACGGTGAACCATATTCTCGGGCTAAGCCAAAGTCACCAACCTTCAAGATACCTCGATGACTCAGTAACAGATTCGATGTTTTCAAATCTCTATGGAGGATCCAGTTGTCGTGCAAGTGTGCAACTGCTCTTAGCAATTGCTGCATGAGACACTTGACTTCGCCTGCAAAAAGGATATTTTCTTATATCAATCCTTTAAAAAAAATTGAAAATAAAATTTATAGTTTTCAAAAGAAGATCGAACAAACCTGGTATGAACACCTGTTTTTTCTGTTTCATCGTTTCCATTAACGATTTAAGATCATGTTCCACATAATCCATTACTATAAATATTTTATCCATATTGCTACCGACAACTATTTCCCGGACAGTTACTATATTCGGATGTTGTGCTTTTAGCAAAGTATTTATCTCTCTAAGACTGGTGATCGGGAATCCCTCTTTTTCTTTCTCCATTTTTAATCGTTTCAGAGCAACAATCTCGTCCGTGCGTTTGTCACGAGCTCTGTAAACTACACCATAGGTGCCTTCTTCGATGCGATTCAGACACTGGAACTCTTCAACGCTTCTGCAACCTTGAATCGCAGGTAAGTAAGGAGGCAACTCGGGTTCCTCTTCCTTCTTTTCTTCTTCCTCCACAGTTTTAGGTGCACCGTTGGAGTCAACATGCCCTGGCGATTCTCCATCGGAATGATCAGACTTGGCTAGCCGATCCACAGACAAGGGACTTGGATTATTGTAGTCGGAGCCATCATTGGAGTCCGCGTTGGAACCTTTATTAGAATCGTTGGATTCATCGTCATCTTCACTGCTAGACTCAGATGAATCGGAAGAATGTCTATCCGATGATCTTTCACGAATGCTTCTCTGACCATCTGAGGAATGTCTAGACCTGAAATCCAGGGAACTCCATTAGGTTTCGCATCTAATTAAATATGATAATTTTCTTAAATAAAGATAACTTACTCCACCGATTTAGAACGAACTTCATCCGAATGAACAGGACTCGGACTTTCATCAGACAATTCAACGATGGAGGGATCCTGATTGTTGTCAGGACTTAGAGGTCGTTTCTCTCCTCTCTTCATTCGTCGCGCTGCCAGTTCCATTCTAGAAACTTCCTTTCTCCTAGCCATTTCTCTGTCAGCTTCCAAGAGCCTCTCTTTTCTGAGTTCTTGCTCAGTCATCTCCTTAGGATCCTTAGGCGGTATTGGCATCTCATTCATCTCCATTTCGTCGGGTTCCTCAGACACGATCTCCATAGCCTCGCGCAATTGCTTTTCTCTGTGCTCTTTCTCACGTTCCGCTTTCTCTCTGTCTCTGTCACGAAGTCGATCGTGTTTGTGGGATCTCTTATGGCGTTTCTCGCTTCTCTCGGCCCGCTCTATGAGCTCTGTTTCTGAATATTGTTCCTCCATTACTCTCATGTGTCTGTGCTCCTCCATACGAATTTTGCGACGTTCTCTAACATCTTCTGGGACAGAACGAATATCTCGACGCTCTCTTATGTCTTCTATTCGGATCTCTCTGCGTTCACGGGAATCACGTAATTCACGAGAATCGTCTATGCGAATCTCACAACGAGCGTCGCCTTTATAATCACGTATATCTCTGGAATCCTCTCGCCTTTCTCTTCTTTTGTCCAATAATCTGTAAATTGAATGTTTTAATAGGCTTATAATAAAAGTTGTCTGAAATGAAACCAACAGAAATTGCATACTTCATACCTCTCTCTTAAATCTTCTAAAACACGATCCCCCGTGCTTCTTTCTTTTCTATCATGTCTAGATTCCCTTTCCCTATGACTTTCCAATCTCTCGAGTCTCTCTATCCGTTCTCTCTCCCTCTTGGAACCTTCTGAACGATCTGATCTCTCTAACAAATCTACACCGTGTCTACGATGTCTATGTTTATCTCTGTGCCTGTCCTCCCCACGATCATGGTGTCTGGATTTTCTTTCTTTCTCTTCTCTACGATCTCGTCTATCCCCGTGCTTGTCTCTCCTTCTGGAGGAGTTAGACTTGTGATGACGGACAATAGCCTGTGGCGGTTTTATGTCCAAAGAATCTGCTGTGTCCCCGCCATCCTCCTCTGAAAAACTTAAAGTATACTTTTCTCAAAACCACTAATGATCACACGCACAATCTAAATTATATTGTTATAAGCGAAAATAAATAAATATAAATGATCATTACACAACTGGCACTAAATGAAAAAATATATCAAAAATGTTATAACAATGAGATTGCAGAAATTATAGGAATACATACAATAAGGTTACTAATAGCATTAAATACTCAAAACTTTGTTACAGAGAAAAATCGTATGACAGTTTGTTAATCGAACATTAAAATGGTTATTTTAGGTTATGAGTACAGATCGAGCATTACCTAAAGTCATCCATGTCTTTAGAAGGACTTTTCTTTATCTCTCCATCTTCGCTTTGGTTATCAAGATCCATTTGTCAACGAACGGAGAAGAAAGCATAAACACACGCTACTGTTACGTTTTTGGAAACAAAATTATACTTCGCGAATACGACTGATTCCGATCACTATAGTTAGAAGAATGATTTTTATTAATATACGTTTTAGTCACGATTGTATGTACATTTTTAATAGTTAATCAACAAGATAATAAACAAGACACTCAATTCAAAGCATCACGCTTCACCCACTCTGATTCCTCTATCAACCACTGTACAGTAATGGCAGCTACAGTAATGATTCATCGTAGTAAACCCACGCGGAGGCAACCGGCTTAGAATTATGAAGCAGGTAGAGAAACTGCTTTTCATTTGATTGGTTGACGCTTCACAGCTAAACCCCCACCAGTTTTAGACAAAAAGAGAAAGTGATAAGTGAGCAAGAGAGCACGATATCAGCACAACTAACACACACAACACAAGCGAAACAATTACCAATGTAGCTTGTACGGACCTGAATAGAGCTTCCAGATTTTGCCACAAGAGATGCTACTTGTCCCGTATGGCGGTATTTTTGATTTTCGGATCTTACAGCAATAGCGACAAGGATCATCTGTTCTCTGCATTTACAATGATAAATGAACTTTTTTTGCGTGATGTAGATATAGGAATCTTGATTTTGAACATGCCGGATAATTGAAATTTTACTGCAGATGCATTAATTTCAAATTCTTTTCACTAAATTTTCGTATTAAATTTCTAGTTCAGTCACATTCCGCTAAAGACGCTATGCATAATGATAACGGTGGAGCTGCCACCGTGACATGTTTGTAAGTGGTTCTGTCACAATTTCGAAATGTCTTATCTGTTATGTTTTTCAACCGGCAAAAATCTGTGAACGATTTACACGTGTACAAGTGGGTGAAATGTCAACAAACTCGTTCGTGTGATACGCTACGCGCCGCTTGAAAGAAATTTCACATTCACAGACCATTTAGCGATCAAAGTGCATCGTTTAACTTCAAACCGTATTATCTGGATCATGTTGTAAACATTAGAAAAGAAAGCAAAGAAAATGCAGTGGCCGTCGCTGAACCTGATCTTGATAGAGGTGTTTTTAGGTTACATCGCCTATACGACATACAATTTGTCACTGTTATTCGTTGCACCGTCTTGCGAAGAAGGAAAACAGTGTTTGACATCTTACTTGAGCAAAAAGCCACATTTACAGTTACGGGTTTACAGTTCCGTCGACAAATACTCGAATAACGGTCACCTCGACTTCGTTTACGGTATCGACAATTTTAATTACACGCATCCAGATAGTTTGTAAGTATACAACTTTCATTACGGACGTTTTCTGAAAATAATTGCAGAGCTCGTGTTTATGGTGTTAGAAAATTTTCAAGAAAATGTAAAATTAAAACAATTTTGGAGACTTAAACACTATTATTATAAAATTTATAAATGTATAAATTTGCTTAAAGCTCCACAGATTAATCATTAATTAAAATTTATTAATGTGAATGTGCTTGTTCTAGTTCAATAACAGTAACTGTGCCACGTAAAACAAAAAACAATGGCACACTGTATTTCTATATCATTGTTGCACCCAGTTCCAGAAAATACAGCAAAAATATTGCATTTAATGATCTACAAAAGGTAAATACCCTTAGATATGAATCATATTGAGTTGAATATTTAATATAAATATCTTTCAGGATTCATATACATCTTTTACTATTATTAAGATGACACAGTACACAGTTCCTGAAGCAAAGGCTTTTAATTTGTTAGGAGAGAAAAATACAAATGCACAGAAAAAGAAAGATTTCATACATCCTGTGACCCATATAAAGAGCCGCATAACATTTACAATAATGACTGATGACGTGAAGCTTCCTATGCAAACTATACCAATTGAGCTAGTGAATCAGTTAAAGTACATAATTTATAATTATATTGTCTTATTTAACATGTTTTTTTTCCAAGCAAATTGTTAATGATCTTATGCATGTGCAGGATTATACACAGCCGGACATTTTTACCGATCGTTAACAATGATTTTCTGCAAAGCAGACATCATGATTTAATAAGAATCTTACCACAAAATAACACAATTAATGTTACACTGCAATACTCCCCGATATCTCTTGGAAAGCTAAGGTTACTGTTGCACGTTGAGCCTACAATGCATGCCTTAAAGAATCTTGGATTCACTGACAAAGATGTGGATGAAGTAAAAGGAATCTTTGCTGATACTAATATATATATTCTAGGAGGAACATTCTTCATTGCAGCTATTCATGTATGTAAAAATACAAATAAATGTAGAATAACTAGTATTATAATGCAACGTTGTTTTATTTTAATTACTTTTTGCATTTTTGTAGTTGTTGTTCGATTTTCTGGCGTTTAAAAATGATGTTAGTTATTGGAGACAGAAAAATAATTTAGTTGGCCTGAGCAAGTGGACTGTCTTATGGAGAGGATTCAGTCAAACTGTCATATTCCTCTATTTATTGGACGAAGGTTCCTCTTTGCTTGTTCTAATTCCTGCTGGAATAGGATCTATCATTGAGGTAATAAATCAAATATATTTCTTAGTATTTATTATAAACATTTGAACATTTTCGTTACAGATATGGAAACTGACGAAGGTGTTGAAACTTAGGTTGCATACCAGTAGCAAAAATGTTGCTGAAGTGAAGACAAGAGAATTTGATGCGGAAAGTATGCGATATTTAAGCTATTTGCTGTATCCGCTCGTTATCATTGGAGCCATATATTCTTTACTTTATCAACCCCATAAAAGGTAACTGGTTGCAAATCTGTCTGAATTAGATCACAAGCAGCTATTACTAACTCCAAATCGTTATTTTAAGCTGGTATTCGTGGAGCATCAATTCATTGGTGAATGGCGTTTACGCGTTCGGATTTTTATTCATGTTACCGCAGCTGTTCGTGAATTACAAGCTTAAGTCTGTATCGCATTTACCATGGAGGACGTTCATGTATAAAGCATTTAACACGTTCATTGATGACGTGTTTGCGTTTATAATTGTTACACCGACAGCACACAGAATAGCTTGCTTCCGTGATGATGCAGTATTCCTTGTTTATCTCTACCAAAGATGGTGAGTCATCCATCAAAGTGAATCATATTTGTAATTAGTTTCATAAAGAACTATCAACTTACATGGTACAACATTTTTCAGGCTGTACCCCGTCGATAAATCTCGCCCCGATATCGATACAATTGGCGAGGAGTCCGTGGATTTCGCAAGTTCGAGTAAAAAAACAAATTGAAAGCCACTAATTAAAGATAATAATGTTATGTAGAGATAGAAATATATTTTTCACTGTTTGTGGTATAGTGAGAAACTGAGTTGTAGCTGCGAGAATCCAGTATAGCAAGTGTACCCTAACGAAGCTTGTTAAATGTAAGAAAGTGATTCGAGCAACGAGATATTCTACGAATTGCATCGATCGGAAATACAACAAGATCCGAACGGTTATCTTTATTCCTCTCACAGATCTGTGAGTCGCAATTGAAATTTATCAGATCGTTGCGACACTTACAGAGATGGATTTCTTAGACGGCTTAAGATAATGTAATACCGATCTCGCGATAACGTTTGTATAAAACTACTTAGTATAAAAATTGTATACAACTCTATTTAATCAGTGCGAGGTTGATTGGTTCGCATGTCTCACAAATAATGACGTTGTGAAGTGTAGGATTTCCAGATTGGTGCTTAAGTTTCAGTCTCTCAAAAGTATACGAGTTCGTTATATAATCGTCAACGAGGAGAATTCCAGTACTGATTTAAATTGCTAAAGTGATAGTAACTACTATGTAATAATAGTCAGTACGCCAGTACGCTGCTGGACGTTCTAGTAGCCGGTTTTCTTAAATAGCACATGAAAACATACGTTTTGAAATTTAATAAATATGTCTGTTTAAAATGGTATGAAAAATCTGACAACAGTGAGATCGCATTTTTGAATTTCTATCTACACAGCACACGTGCATTTTCCATGATAATTATCGAACGTTATTTTTGTCTGAAGTGAGATAAATAACAATAATTTTGTCCCATTCTGCCGCTTACGGTGGGCAGAGCTTCGTCTTAAGAGAATACTAATTAAGTTATAACAGTACTTGTTGCTATTATTTGATACGTCGTTATTTTTTTTGGTAAAATACAAAATCAGTATGGACTACGTTTGGTTTATTATTCAAATTACGTTTTCCATCGGAATTTCACTGTTCCTGTATCTTACGTTTAGTAAAATTGTGAGAAAAAACCCGTTATGCTTCAATTCAATACGCAAACTACCAAGTACGTATACTATCATCTAAAAGAGACTTTGAAGTACAAGAGACTGAAATGATTGGTAATATTTTTAGGTGTAAATTATTTACTAAAATACTGGTTGGCAGAATTTTTCCTCAGAATGAGAAGAAAAAAAACAGCGACTTCGACTAATTGGAGAAATAAAAAACTAAAGACTTCAAGAATAAAAGATAAAAATGTAAGTGTGAATAAAACAATTGCTCTTCGTGATTTGTTTCATAGTTTATCGGATTTGTATTTAGAGCAGCCACACTTTGCTTTTCTATGGAGCTGATCAGGCCGGAAACTCGTTGTTGATTAAGTTTTCACATAGAGGATTTAAAACGGTGGAAGCAACGTTGCATCTTACAACATCTGATGGTCGTCTGTTCGTACTACCCGGTACAGTAAATAGATAAATTTCGCAAACTGTACCCTCCCCCGTCTAGAGTTGTGGATAATTCTACAACTTTTTTTCAGGCTACCCTGACACCACGGTGGTTAGTAGCTTCAATCAAGAATGGGCGACAGCAGATCTTAAAATAGAAGTTTTGAAAGCACATCAGCGTTGGAGAATAATTTACAATGGCATGTTGCGGGATTTAAGTAAAGGCGACGAATGCAACGACAAAAATGTGCAACATGTTCGCTTGAACTTCCTGTAAATAGAGAAATCTAGACTTAAGTAGGTAATGAAATGAAATGCTAAATATTTTATTTTCTATTTAGTTTTATCGTGAATTCCGTACCACTAAGATGGCCAGAAGACTGGAGTCTCAAACTGCACGCGGACGTTCTAGCTCGTGAACCATGGAGAAGTCCCAAGTGGATGAACAAAATGTATTCATATTTCCATAAATTATTCTATAAATAACTGATTACTCTATATATTATTTTGTGCAACTATTTTAGAAGACAACTAGACTACACAGGTACCGATTACATTGGCTCTCTGTTAGGCGAGGTAAGGTACAACGACGGAGACATTTCCGCGTTATACTTGCGTGGACTTTATCAGCATCGTTGGGGAAAACACGAATCTTGCGAGTTCAAAGAATCTGTTACCTTGTTTGGTGCTACGAAGTTTGGAGCCTTGTTTTATCTTAATACGAGCAGTACAAAACATAGTTTTCCGACGTAAGTTAAGCAATTTATCGTTTATAACAAAGCTCGTGACGACTCTTTATGTAATTACAGAATACAATGTGGACAACTGAAAGACAACGACGAAGCGATTCGCGAAATAGAGAGCATGGGACTCACATTAGCTGATTTTATGGAAAAGAAGTTGACAAGCAATTCCGAACACAGAACATGGTGCAAAGGTTGTTCACGTTTTCACTCAATTTCAAAAGTTTGCAACAACCATTGAAAAATTTAATTTATAATTTTTACTTTAGCTGGAGGTAAAGATTATGACATTCTTATGAAATTCAATGAACCAGTGACTTTGTATCATGGTCAGCCTTGGGATTGGAAGAACAAAATTATTCCTGTAAAATTAGAATTCAATGGAAGACCAGGTATTGTTACTAAAAACATCACGATATAGAATTTACTAGCTTGAGCATTATTAAAATAATTTTCTAACAGGTGTTGGATTGCTGCAGCTATGCAATTCGTATGATGGACCGAGCCAGACAACTCCGTCTAGAAAATTGCAACTATTAAAACAACTTCATGTACACTTGGAAAGAAGTGATTATGTGGTGTTTTTCGACAACGTAAAGTGCCAAAACGAAAATATAACTGGCGGAAAGGGATTCTCCCTCGCGATCTTAACTTCGATTAAAGATGCAGGCGTAAGTAATTTCTTATACCGATTTCTAAAGTCGCAAGTAACATGAGTGATTTACAGTTTATAGTGCCGAAAGGATTTTGCATCACCGTTTTTGGGCTTGAATTGCAATTGCACACCAATAAAGAACTGCAGGGAGTTATTAACGACATCGAGCACGTCAGCGTTGGTAAAAAAACAGGTGACTTGCAAGAATACTGTCATAGGTAAATTACTTAACTGGTTTGACGTCTCCTAATTTTATATGCACGATATTCATTATATGTATCTTTTACAGGGCTGTTAGGGTTATCCAATCCGCTCCCATTGTGGATGAAGTAAGGGAATCTATTTTAGAAGCATTAAATCATTTGGAGGCAGAAGAGAATAGTGATAAACCTTATAAATATGCAATAAGATCCAGTGCAGTTGGCGAAGATAGCGAAGAAACTTCAGCAGCTGGTCAGAATGCAACGTACTTAGGGGTTCAAGGTGCAGATAATATAATTAAAAGCGTATCTAAATGTTGGGCAAGTCTGTACTCTTATCAAAGTGTGATATATAGGTAATTACGAATAATACATATTTATTCAAATAAAAATCATTGAACTCTAATTTGGAGAGAGAGAATATATTAGAATTATATTAGAATTATATTAGAATCTAATTTGGAATATATTGGAATATATAGAAAACAGCACGGCATGTTTACAAAATCATCCATGGGAGTCTGCGTGCAGCTGATGGTAGATGCTGATGCAGCTGGTGTGATGTTCACTAGACATCCAACAACCGGGGATCCTTCGAATATCGTTATTACTGCTAATTATGGTCTGGGAGAGGTACGATAACAACATACATTAACCAATCTGAACGGCAAATCTGCAGGTATTTATTATGCTAGCTAACTTTATTCAGACAGTGGTATCAGCTGCAGTTGAACCGGACACGATAATAGTTCATAAGAGTTGGGATGATAAGCTGACTATGAACAGCACGATGCCAGGGAGCAAACAGCGAAAGATGCTAACAAACGATGATGGCTTGATTACAATTGATTTGAGCGAGCAGGAGAGGAAAAAAGTCTGTATATCGGGAGAAATTGCTTTACGACTAACCACTATTGGAACAAACCTAGAAAGTCTGTTTGGTAGCGCTCGAGATATAGAATGGGCAGTAGTCGGTGAGCAGATCTACTTGCTCCAAGCACGACCCATTACTACTTTGTACAACTGGACGGATTTCGAGTTGATACATGAACTCGACACAGTAGTGCCTAGTGATATCGATATACTATCGTTCGCGAACGTGGGCGAGGTAATGCCGGGTCCAATGTCGCCTTTGACAATTTCTATGTTCGTAAAACCGTTTAACGATGCAGCTAACCCTTCCAGCAACATTCCTGATGCGAACTGTTTCAATGTCGTGAGCATGAGGTGCACATTGAACTATTACAACGTAAGTTGTTTTAGAAGCAATTAAATATACACGCATAAGATAAGGATAATAATAGTTGTTTATCATTGCAGCTTTTTGTACGTCAGCCTGATAAAGAGATTTCACTGTCAAATAAAGTTTGTGACATTGCTTTATGCGGACATATTATGATAACGCCTGAAATACACAAAGTCGGCCTCGAAAGAAATGGTTTATGCAGTAGATACGAACGGTGCTTTTGGTTGTGGATGCTTGTCAAAGATATTTTACAAAATGGTTCTGTAGAACCGGTTGCCAGACAACTTGAAAGGAGCATTACTTTCAATCTTGAGAACTTTTACACCGCTTATAGTCTATACAATGAAATTAATAAAAAGATATCAGAATATATAGAAGTAAGTCATCGATTGTTGATGGGTGTTGCATTAAATATGGGATTGCCATTAAATAGTTAAATTTTTTAGATGATAAAATGTCACTCACTGGCAACGAGAGGTAGTGTCATATATCAAATGCTTATGATGGCAATCTTGACGAATGGTTACGACGACATTGTACCTCATCATTATTCGGACATTGCCGTATTGTTGGGCACTGTTAATGATATAGTTAGCGGTCAAGTAGTGGTAAGCCTTAAGAAAATAGTAAAGTATCTGAAGGCGTGTGAGCTCGATGATGAATTTAAGAAACTGGATCCTACAAAAGCTATTGATTGGATGAAAATTAACTGTCCGCCAGCTTCAAAAGAATTCGAGAATGTTCTCAAGGAACATGGGCACAGATGTATCCAAGAATTAGATCTGATGATGGAACCTTGGTCCCTACGACCGGATACGCTTATTACAACGTTGCAGGTAAAACGAATCATTTGACACAGTGAACCATTTCTGTACTAAATCGTTAAATGACAATATTATCACCAGACAATGGTATCATCGGCGAACATGGACAACACAAAACAAAAGAAATTGACCGCGAAAGAAACGGTGGCTTTGTTGAAGACACCAAAGTCAGAAGCCATTAGGTCGATTTTAAACGTAATTGTACCCCTTAGTAGAAAAAGTGTTACACGCAGAGAGTTGACGAAGTCTTTACTCGTGAACGTTGTGCATAAGTTTAGGCTAGCTTTCAAGAAGCTGGGGAAATTGATGGTCCTGGAAGAATATCTACCCAACCAGGATCTTATATTCTTTTTAACGATAGATGAAATTAGAGAAGTATTAAATCACCGTAATAAATCGCTTGTCCAGAGGTAAGTGGCAAACTGCTACTAATTATATGAAGTACTATTATTCCGTGTAATATTTATACATTTGTACATTGTGTTAGAGTCGTCCGTAGACACAGACTGTATCCCAAACTGAAGCAACTTCGGTTTCCTGAAGTTAATACCGGCATGCCGCTTCCAATCAAGGTAGACTATGATATTTAGTTTAGTATATTTAAAGAGTTCATTTTATCTTGATTAATAGTGAAAGTTTTAAATAATGTCGTGTTGCAGAATGAGTCGGAAATTGATAGGTTCCTAACAACCGATGGTTCCATAAAGATTCAAGGGACTGCGGTATGTACCGGTTCTGCACTCAACAGAGCATGCGTAATAACAGATTTATCGGAGACTCATAAAATACAAAGCGGTGACATCTTAATTACATTCGCCACCGATATCGCTTGGAGTCCATTTTTTACACTACTGAGCGGCATAGTTACTGAATTGGGTGGAATTATAAGTCATGGGGCTGTTGTAGCCAGAGAATACGGTTTGCCTTGCATAGTCGGAGCTAGGGGTGCCACGCAACTGTTCAAAACAGGTATATTGTTCGTATCCCGAAAAACAGAAATAAATAATATATTAAAGTTTCTATACGGATTTTTAGGTGATACAGTGTTGCTGGTCGCAGACACTGGGGTTTTAGAGTTAGTAAAAAGATACGAAGAAAACGAGAATCCAAAGTAATATTCTTGTAATAAACCTCTGTAATAAACAAATTCTATTTTTCAGCACTAATCGTGCGCATCTGTCGATACAGTTTTACATCTGAAGATGTTTCTCGTTTATCCATGACAATAGTAGCAAGTAAGGATACTGTATTATATAGAGTCCCGTTGCAACGGTATAAAAATATAACGGCGAGTGTAATACATTAGGTCCTTAAAGCTCTAGTGTTACTATACAGTGGTAATTCGATTAGGATCGGCTACCAGTTGCGGAGTATTATTTGTTGTGTTACTGGCAAGACACGATAACTGTAATTGCATGGAGTTCGTCACTTTTGTCAACAGAATATCGATTCGCATGCGATCCTCTTTGTTGACCGGTTGGGGTATAGCGTCTAGGGCCTCCTCGAAGAAGTTTCTGTCAACGAATGTGCGTTGAAAAATATTGACATTGCTGTACATAATTCCAAACAAAAGAGATACAAACTTTGCTCTGGTTGTACTATAAGCTCGCAAGGCATTCCGCAGAAGTATGATGTCGGTTCGTGCTTGAACAATACCAGCGGGTCGAAATTGAGTAACACATGACATAAGTCTTGCTAACTCCTCTGCCACAGTCTCAACAATGTGAGACAATACTCGATATAGCAAAGCTGGCGCGACCCGGCGCACCTACCAAAAAATATAATTAATAATAACAGAGATCACATATGTTTTTAAAGAAGCTGATAGGTGATAAATACTTCTGCATGTACAGCAATTAGATTTGCTAAAATTTCTTGGGCGTACGGTCTCACGTGAGTCGGTTCTGTTTCGAAATCCCATTCCAGACCACCCAGATACATACTGGGCTCAATTGTACCGACTAATGGATCACAACGTCGTTCCAAATACGCTTCCAAAACGGCAGTATCCAACGTTTCCAATGTCCAATCAGAGTTCCATCCAACCGCGTTTGATAAGCTCGGGTAATCCATTTCTTTTAACGCGTCTCCAATTTTTGGTAGAATGGTTTTCAACGTGTAGCGAATATTACTTAACGAAATTAAAAGGCATTGTTCCCATGTCTGAAACAAAATTATAAGTAGTGAAAATATTACAACATTGATTTCGAAGGACTTACTGGGCCGTGATGTTTATTGCTCTTGCTTTTATAGCCGGAAGGAGAACCAACTAATTGAGAAACGGAAGATTCGTCGTCGTCTAAAGCCTCCTCGCAGCCACTGAATGCTAATTGCTGTAAACATCGTGCGAACGACGTAAACAGTGCTTTGATAGAGTTATAATACAATTGTTGATGCGCAGGATTAGCGAACAATTGACCTTCTCGAGGACCACAAGCTACAACAGTGTCCCGTGCCCGCTTTGAAACATCCATGACCATATCCTCGAATAAATATGGCTGTGCAGAATTCAGAGAATGTATATTGAATCAGGAGACAGATGCACGAATTTTCAATATACAAAAATAATCACCACTCTAGTAACACCGCCATCTTCGTTCACGTATTCAATTTGCCAAGTTTCCTTTTTATTCAAAGCTGCAATCTTTTCTGCTGTTTGCTTGAAAAGACTAGCAAAGCACTGTAATCTGTTTAAAAAGATAATTAGTTTATTGTATAATAAAAAAGGGGAGTATTAAAGAGTATTTTCTACCTTAGATCCAGTATAAGTTTTCCAAAAATATCCAATGCATCGCTCGGCAAATCTAAGTGAATCAGCGAAGCGTACATTTGTCTAATCCTGCGCAAAGTATGTAGAAGCCAAACTGCGTCCTGTTCGTTACTGCACATATTTCTCATAGCTTCCATTGCGTGTTGCATGCTAGATAGCACGATATTCTATGTCAAGACGATTAATTGAATCAGACAAATGTTACATCCTTTTTTAAATGTTAATTTATTAATGTTGATTTACTTTGAAAGGTGTTTGTTTTTCCACGTCCACCGCGACATGCAATTGCCCGGTAAAATAGCTCTGACCTAATCTCCAAAGATCTGGTATCTGTTCAACTATGATATCACAAATTGCTTCAATGCACAATATTTGTGGAAACATATTACCATCGTCATTCTTATTCGTTTTTAGTTGTTTGTTATTCTGTCCAAATTTTGATTTGTTCAGATCATCCCCGCTCGAATTTTCTGCTTCCAAATGTTCCTGTACACAAGCCGTAATACTCTTTTTCAAGTAATTTGCGTGTGAAACTGAAAAATTAATAGTTAATATTTTCTGTTTGCTGGGACGTTATCATTCAATTTAATACATATGAATACCTATCGCATCCCAAGCTGGATCTCCTTCAGCTTCCAAATTAACAAGATTTCTAATTATCTTTTTATGTTCTTCCAAACTCAAAGGCATTTCTTCCAATTTGTTCTTTAGAAATACCTTGAGCATTTCGATTCTATTATCGATTTCTTGTAACACCTGTTTGAAGACCTCCACTTCGGTGGTTTTAAATAAATTCTTTACTCTAGCGTAGTCATTAATCACGAGATCGTAATTGCCCCGTTTAATATTCTTCTCTATATTAATTGGCATACAAAAAAGGAACTTATATCGTTGCATTACTGCCAGAGCATTTCTTGTTGCATCTGCTCTATCTCTTCTTGCTAATACATCGTCAAATAATTTATTAGCTTCGGTCATAGATTGTTGAATAGCTTTCTCTAATTTCTCGGTAGGGTCACCACCATACGTCTTTATATCTGTTTCGAATTGTTCTTTTAGTAACATTATTGTGTCTAATTGTTCCATTACTGACCCTACATTAGCCTAAAAAGATTGCAAACCACAATAAGCAAGCAAAGATAAAAATTAGAATCCAATCACCTTTAAAAATGATAGTTGACCCTCCTTTTGGGAATTGACTTTTCTTTTAAGATACGCCAATCCAGCTTTGAGATCCTCAAAAGTGGTAGCATGATGGTGTTGCAACAGAAACCAACCAGGATGAAATTTCTCGTTTGTAAGATCACCGCTGCCTTCTCCAAAAAGTTCCATCAACTCATCTTCAGGGAACTTTTTGCTACAAAGAAACATGTTGAAACATTCATGTCAATATACATCATTAAGTGAACATACTCATTGCCCTCCACGCTCAGACCTAGAGGGTCTTCCTGTTGATAATTCGTTGGCGAAAGTGTTCTCCTTCCCCAGACAAAACTTTGTAAAGGAGCTTCTTCCACCCATACTGCTGACTCTTTCATAGGCCCTATAGTTTCATGATACCCACGGAATTGTACCGTCGATGTCCCTTGTCCTCCACTTCTGGTTGTAACTATAATGTCTCCACGACCTTTGCAAGGTCCCGACCTAGCAATAATCTTGTTGGTGGATTTCCATTCGGCAGACAGAAGGCAATCACAACCACATATTGTTAAGCCTAAAAGCATCGGACATTACCATAATATCGTATCCTTTATTTGATGGAAAATATATTTCAAGTCCTATAATCGGTAAATACTAACCTACAAGGTCTTGAGCTTTGTTTCCCAGGAATTCACCGCGAACAATAACACGGGTTCCTGGCGGTCCTTCCTTGGGCGATATTCCCGTTACCACCGGTGGTGGACCCATTTTCTTGATTTCGGTTCAATACGAAATTCTTCCTATTTTTGTGCGAATAAATATCGGCTATTCATGGTTCTAACCTCGATCATTGATCTATGATTAAATCTACAGTTCTACCCTAAAAACGTCGGCAAGTACATATTTTATTCCAGAACTTTCTAGGACGCAACATGAATCTAAAATGTCAATAACGATTGTAAAATCTATACATGGATGTACAGGTTAGAAGATAACTTGGACTTCTGTCAAAATAATAACGGCTGATAATCCAATGACAGTAACGGCCATTGACGTCACAAATTGTAGTTAGGTAGAACAAACTCAAACTGTAGGGATGCCCAAATGATCTATCAAAAATCGATCTTTTATGGACATCCCTAAGTCGAACCAAGTTGTTTGATGCTTCCAGATGTATGATTTCATGTATAACAATAGAACTAATGAGCTAACTCAATTTCGTGACCCTTATAAGTTTCATAGGGTGAAAATTCACCTGCTCCTACTTTTATATACTGCAAAATTTTAGGTATTGTAAGACGTATTTCTTTAAAATATATCATAAATGAATTTGCTAATATGCTAATTGCTATAATAACAGATGAAGTATCATCCTAAGACCTTCCGTGCAATTATTTCTGAGCATTAATAATTTTGTGTCATTCGCAGCGTTACCAACTGAGTAATGAGTAGAGTTTACAATTAGTTTCAATTGATGTACATATGTATTTTTCTTTAATAATGATTATTTCTATTCCAATATTAATTAATGTTCACATAATTTAGAAAGTTCAGGGTAAGTAGTGTGGTCCTGAGTATTTCTGCGGATTGGAAGTGGTTTTGAGTGTAAATAGGGTGTGGAATAGGATGTGGATTTGAATACTAACTTCAATGAATTTATTAGTTATCCAATTGATCGTTGTCCATGAGAAGAGGTCGCTCAAATTATGTATCCTGAAATTTCTCAGTCGGTATAGCAGCCAACCTTGGACTACACAGAGATACACGAAGTTTCAAGTCTAGTCTTATTATTCGTCTATGTTCGTAGTACAAATTGAGTGTACATATACATACACACGTACACGAGACTTTTTGTTTCTCCTAAAAATTCAAATGTAAAGATACATAATCAGTAGCGTTAAACGTGATAGTAGAATTTCACAGTGATCCAAAGAACTTCTGAATCGTAGACAGCAAACCCGATATCTACGCATAGAGTCATCAGACTCTTATCGGTTGGTAAATTAAATCCCACCCACTTTTAGCGAGAATAAAACAGTAAGTAATATCTGCTTCCATTAGCAATCGTTTGCATCGCCTTTGAATTCAAGCTCTCCCACTGATCGATGCATTTGTATACATACACAAAATAAGCGGTGATAAACAAAAGATGTTGCGTATGCATGTCTAAAAAAGTGGGTTATATAGACGGGACTGTCAAAAGAAATGTCAGTGCCGGTCGAGCGACGGTGGCCGAAAGTAGAAGGACATTGTTCCATGAGAATTCTTCCTTAATCATGATTGATCGACGCGCCATCTTCGGAATAAGCAGGCAATGCTAGTTAGTGCGCATTAGTGCGTCCGTCGATCAGAGTATACTCGAGTTTACCTGCCAAACGTGTATCTATGATTGCTCAAGTTTGTATACTCGTGCCATTCTCGCTGTTGTGTTTTACTAATTTCCCTGGAATATTCAGCCCGAACGGAAATAAGAAGTATCAGGAGCCTGCATACGAATTCAGATCAAGGAAGGAGTTATGGGGGACGCAGCGATGAACGTCGCAGCGTCCGGTGGCGGCGGTCAGCGTGTCGTTAAAGAAGGCTGGCTTCAAAAACGCGGTACACACCATAGAACAGTTTCATAATATTTTTGTTTACCCGTTCGCCTCGCTCTCAACGAATCTGCGACATGAACTTGAAACGGGATTCTCCCCGTTTGCCTGTGTACTCCTTCGAACCTTGACTGATTGTCTGTTTAGCAAAATGTCAAGAATACGTTGACCGACGTGTCTTCCGCGAAAATTTTAGAAAGTCTTCGCTTATTTCACAAACAACGTCGTATTTCCAGCAAACGTGCGTTGTCTCTCCGATCTTTTCCTTGATAAATCGTCGCAGTCTCGATTTAAAATATCGAACTGCTCTTGTCGAGGTTGTTTGAACTTTTTTCTGTCTGAAAAAATTCAAGAAAACAATCTGAAACAAGTAACGTGATTACTTGCGAAACAAATTGAACTCTGACACTCTCACAGAATTTTGTAGCCTCCACAATGACTAAGTGAAATGATTCCAAGATTTGTTGTTTGTATGTAGGCGAGCACATTAAAAACTGGAGGTCAAGGTATTTCGTTTTACGGGACGATGGTACACTGGTGGGCTTCAAAGCAAAGCCCGATCAACAAATGGCAGCAGCCGCTCAGCCTTTAAATAATTTTACTGTTCGAGGATGTCAGATTATGTCTGTGGATAGACCTAAGCCTTATACCTTTGTTATAAGAGGTTTGCAATGGGCAGCTGTAATAGAAAGAACTTTTCATGTAGATACGGAACAAGAGAGAGAAGATTGGGTGGCAGCAATCAGGTTTGCTTCATCTTCTTATCTTGCATACATTGCTCCTAAGCAAAACTTAGAATATTACTTTTATGAGTAGGTACGTAGCCGCTAGATTAGCAAGTGAAAAGGACCAGCAGCAGCCTCAACCATCTCCAATTCAACACTCATCTTCGTCTGAAGATGTTGAAATGGAATCGTCTGGAGGCGGTAGGTCAGATTCTGGTGGGTCTGTTGGAGTGTCGTCTTCGGATGTAGATGGTGGCAGTATCGACGAATTGTCTGCAAAATTTAGCGTTCAAGGAACTTCTAGTAGTAAAAGTACAGGGAAGAAAAAAGTAGTATGTACAATGCTTATACATTGAACTTTTTTTTTTTACCAGCGAAGCCACAAGTTCTAATTCTGATTTTTGCATTGCAGACCCTTGAGAACTTCGAATTTTTAAAAGTTTTGGGAAAAGGCACGTTCGGAAAGGTGATACTTTGCAGAGAAAAAGCGACAGGACACTTGTATGCTATAAAGATTTTACGAAAGGAGGTGATCATACGTAAACACGAGGTCGCGCACGCACTTACCGAGAATAGAGTATTGCGAACTACTAATCATCCGTTCCTAATTGTATGTTACATAGAAACTACCCCATATCAGAGCTATATCCTTACAATTTTAATTAATGTTTCATTTTACAGTCCTTAAAGTATAGTTTTCAAACGGCGGACAGACTGTGTTTTGTAATGGAATACGTGAACGGTGGAGAACTATTCTTTCACTTAAGACGTTCTCGCAGATTCGGCGAGGATCGTACACGATTTTACGGGGCCGAAATTATCTCGGCTTTAGGCTACCTTCATTCACAGGGTATCATTTACCGTGATCTCAAACTAGAGAATCTTCTCTTAGACAAAGATGGACACATTAAAATCGCTGACTTCGGGTTATGTAAGGAAGATATAACGTATGGTAAGGTGTAGAGAGCAGAGAATCAATGACGTATTCTCAAATTTTGAGAATTACTGACAAATACTGGTTACGTTTCAATCGTGTAGGAAGAACGACGAAAACATTCTGCGGGACTCCCGAGTATCTGGCACCAGAAGTGCTCGAAGATAACGACTATGGACGAGCGGTGGACTGGTGGGGCGTTGGAGTTGTTATGTATGAAATGATTTGTGGTCGATTACCTTTTTATAACAAGGACCATGAGAAACTTTTTACGCTGATTGTAATGGAAGAAGTCAGATTTCCAAGGACGATCAGTAATGATGCGAAAGACATGCTGGGTGGTCAGTGAATAATTTTACAAATCAATTTTTTCATGTGAAGGAAACATTTATATCGATGATTTTTATTTCGCAGGATTACTTATAAAAGATCCAAGCAAAAGATTGGGAGGTGGACCTAACGACGCGAAAGAGATTATGGATCATGCGTTTTTTTCGTCGATTGACTGGGCGGACCTCGTGCAGAAGAAAATTCCCCCTCCTTTTAAACCTCAAGTAACTTCTGACACAGACACCCGATACTTTGATAGCGAATTCACGGGTGAAAGTGTCGAGCTTACTCCACCCGATCAAAGCTTTTTAGGTAGCGGGGGTGGTTTGAATTCGATAGCCGAAGAACAAGAACATTTTCCCCAGTTCTCCTATCAAGAAAGTCATTCAGCAGCAACCTCTTCCATCGTTTCCATTAATCACTGACAGTATCAAGGGTTTTCGTTGTTTATATACTGAGATATGTGGCTAAATGCATGGGCACAGTCAAACAAAGAGGTATTGTCGACCGATTTGAGAAAACGTTTTTTTTAAAGCAGATTAATTCAAGTATCATTTTTGCTAATTTATGATGCTTTTTTCATGCATCTTCGAATAAATTTTAACACATATCTCCAATGGCAGATCAAGTTCGTGTGTGTCCGCGCGCGTGTGTGTGTGTATGCACAACATGTGCAACTACGCGCGCACACGTTGAAATTGTACATGAAAAAAGATTGTGTACTATACTACCCGATTGAGCTAATACTATTTATACCTGCTGAGTAGGTTTACAATAACATAATGATGGGGATAAATTTTTGTCTTAAAGCATAGAGGAAGAAGAGTGAACGAAAACTAAACTTAAGTTCATCCCCGATGCTGTGTTACATTGTAAAATGCGGCACGCTTCTTCCATGTGGAAGAACGATATTTGATAATCATAGTTACAGTCCTTTGTTCTACGAAAGTGATGATTCAACACTTTCTAGCTTCATCATCAACTTTATTATAATAATTTATGGAAGGGAAGTTCCTGGTTATTTTTTTAAACTTATTAGTCAACTGTTATAGCAGAAGCCAAAATAACAAATTACACTTGGAAAGAAGCCAACCAACGGGCTAGTGGTGTGTATCAATTTTAAAAGTAGGAGCATAGAAAAACATTTACAGCTTTAATTGAATTATCGTGTAAATTTGAGATCAAGATTTTTAGCACTGAAAGGAAGCGTTTTCTTTGATAAGTGACTAGTACTACTGAAAAAGTAGGTTTGTTTTCCTTTACTACAGTTCGCGCTTTCATTATGTATCATTGATAATTAATAATTTACTGTGAGAATCAGATGGAAATATAAAATGCTACTCTAANTTTGTAATGGAATACGTGAACGGTGGAGAACTATTCTTTCACTTAAGACGTTCTCGCAGATTCGGCGAGGATCGTACACGATTTTACGGGGCCGAAATTATCTCGGCTTTAGGCTACCTTCATTCACAGGGTATCATTTACCGTGATCTCAAACTAGAGAATCTTCTCTTAGACAAAGATGGACACATTAAAATCGCTGACTTCGGGTTATGTAAGGAAGATATAACGTATGGTAAGGTGTAGAGAGCAGAGAATCAATGACGTATTCTCAAATTTTGAGAATTACTGACAAATACTGGTTACGTTTCAATCGTGTAGGAAGAACGACGAAAACATTCTGCGGGACTCCCGAGTATCTGGCACCAGAAGTGCTCGAAGATAACGACTATGGACGAGCGGTGGACTGGTGGGGCGTTGGAGTTGTTATGTATGAAATGATTTGTGGTCGATTACCTTTTTATAACAAGGACCATGAGAAACTTTTTACGCTGATTGTAATGGAAGAAGTCAGATTTCCAAGGACGATCAGTAATGATGCGAAAGACATGCTGGGTGGTCAGTGAATAATTTTACAAATCAATTTTTTCATGTGAAGGAAACATTTATATCGATGATTTTTATTTCGCAGGATTACTTATAAAAGATCCAAGCAAAAGATTGGGAGGTGGACCTAACGACGCGAAAGAGATTATGGATCATGCGTTTTTTTCGTCGATTGACTGGGCGGACCTCGTGCAGAAGAAAATTCCCCCTCCTTTTAAACCTCAAGTAACTTCTGACACAGACACCCGATACTTTGATAGCGAATTCACGGGTGAAAGTGTCGAGCTTACTCCACCCGATCAAAGCTTTTTAGGTAGCGGGGGTGGTTTGAATTCGATAGCCGAAGAACAAGAACATTTTCCCCAGTTCTCCTATCAAGAAAGTCATTCAGCAGCAACCTCTTCCATCGTTTCCATTAATCACTGACAGTATCAAGGGTTTTCGTTGTTTATATACTGAGATATGTGGCTAAATGCATGGGCACAGTCAAACAAAGAGGTATTGTCGACCGATTTGAGAAAACGTTTTTTTTAAAGCAGATTAATTCAAGTATCATTTTTGCTAATTTATGATGCTTTTTTCATGCATCTTCGAATAAATTTTAACACATATCTCCAATGGCAGATCAAGTTCGTGTGTGTCCGCGCGCGTGTGTGTGTGTATGCACAACATGTGCAACTACGCGCGCACACGTTGAAATTGTACATGAAAAAAGATTGTGTACTATACTACCCGATTGAGCTAATACTATTTATACCTGCTGAGTAGGTTTACAATAACATAATGATGGGGATAAATTTTTGTCTTAAAGCATAGAGGAAGAAGAGTGAACGAAAACTAAACTTAAGTTCATCCCCGATGCTGTGTTACATTGTAAAATGCGGCACGCTTCTTCCATGTGGAAGAACGATATTTGATAATCATAGTTACAGTCCTTTGTTCTACGAAAGTGATGATTCAACACTTTCTAGCTTCATCATCAACTTTATTATAATAATTTATGGAAGGGAAGTTCCTGGTTATTTTTTTAAACTTATTAGTCAACTGTTATAGCAGAAGCCAAAATAACAAATTACACTTGGAAAGAAGCCAACCAACGGGCTAGTGGTGTGTATCAATTTTAAAAGTAGGAGCATAGAAAAACATTTACAGCTTTAATTGAATTATCGTGTAAATTTGAGATCAAGATTTTTAGCACTGAAAGGAAGCGTTTTCTTTGATAAGTGACTAGTACTACTGAAAAAGTAGGTTTGTTTTCCTTTACTACAGTTCGCGCTTTCATTATGTATCATTGATAATTAATAATTTACTGTGNTACAATGATTATATACATATATGTATATTATATATATATAAATATAAAAAAAAATATATATATATACATATATATATATACATACACACATATATTTATATTTTAACAATTAAAGAATTATATTGTACGTACGCATTATTAATTTCCATCTTATTTGTAATTAGCAAATACTTGTAGTTTATTCGTTTCAACGCGAGAGGGGGAACAGGGAGAATTTTTAAAGATAGAATTAAAAGAAAAAGTCGATTGTTTGAAGTTTATAGCTATAGACTTTTTGCTATTTACCATAAAACAGCGTGGTACATTTTGTCGAACGAGAAAAAATGATAACTAAAAAGATATGTCTATGTAATTATTTCAATTACTTTTCTCCTGAAACGTGCTCTACAGTTTGTTTGCAAGGTGATTTATATTGTACGCCGGGAAAATCTCGTCCTTTATGAGCCAAACTTGATCCAACACGGCACCATCCTTATCATCAGATACCTATTGTCGTCGGAAACATATTGTAAAATGAATAATAACGAACATTCCTTGTGCCTGCTATTCCGAACTATATCCAGTACCTGTTCAAGATATAGATGAGTCCGATTATATGCCTTCATCCTTGTGTAACCATAATCTGAGCTACGATATGCAGACCATTCAGGTTTATTCGGGACGAAGTTTTCTCTACCTTCCTTGCATCCGGCCGATCCAGTTACTATGTGTACAGGTGCCTTGTAATTCTTATACGGTTCTTCGTAACTACCATTTTGTACCTATGATTAGTTTCTTTTTATCATTGATTAAATCTATTTGAAAAAACATGCTCAAAATCTTGGGTTTACGAAACCAACGAAATTACCTTGAAATTGTACATGGGCCACATACGTTCGTAGCTATGCTCATGAGCCCATAGTAGCAAGTCTACTTTATGTTTATAAAAGAGATCTTCGAGTCCGAACCAATTAAAAAATGGCAATCCAACTCTAATGAGACTCTGATGATTTGTACAATCATCCCCGTTCAAATTGCTACAGTACATTGGTCTGTGACCATATGCTACTATCCATGGTTGTTTTTCTCTAAAAAAATAATTTTGATTTATCTGAATATAACAAGAGACAGTTCTATTTTACCTGTTCATAGGTTTATTGGCTTCTACTAAATCTTTTTCTAGCCATTGATACTGTTTAATGAGCTGTTTCAAGCCATAATTCAGAAAGTAATATGCTTCCGTCTCTATACCAATGAAATGAACAGGGCCTACATTGAAACTATACCATAAACCCTCACTATCTCCTGGCATTGTAAAACGAGCCCTAGAAAGATTCATATTAGTAACACTGAAACATAAAGTAAGTGATTACCAACAGACCTGTAATTACTAAAGTTGTATTTCTCTTCATGATTTCCAGCTACTGTCATATAAGGTATATAAGCAGCAACTCCTTCTATCTGATTCATAAATTCATCTCCAACACGTGCATTACTAGTGTCCATGTCATAAGCAAAATCTCCAACATGAATTGCTGCATCATATAGTCCGCGTTGTGCTTCTTCCTGTAACCTTGCTAAGCTCTGAGCATTCTCATTACCCATATCGCCAAAGATAACAATTTGTGGTGACCATTCCGCAGAATCTTCAGGAGCAGTTCTCACGTAAAAAGCATTTGACCAACCATATTTACTACCACAGTGGTACACTGTTAAAAAAGATTTTATCAATAGGCCTCTCATGAAAAATAGAAAATTATTCAACTCACTGTATTTGCTGTCGGGTGTTAAATTCTTCAACCATACTCTGTGTATATACTGCTTTTGCTTTTCATTCCCACCATCAGTAAATAGCGTAGCATTTCCACTCGCACTTAGAATATATCCTCCTATTCCATATTCCACTATAGACTCTCCTGTATTGCTTTTTGTGCTCCAAGTGACGACAATATCATGAATGTTATCTATAAAATACACCAACATAAAATAATTAATCAAAATTACTATATGAAGCAGTATGCAAATGCTTCAGTTACTATCTATAAATAATCAATGATTTATTAATATTCATAATTTTCATAAAGTATTCATAAATATTTTTACCCCCATAGGCAATATGCACAGCTTCTGGTTGATAATAAATGACATTGGAAAATGCAGTGGAGATTGAAGAGAAAATTGCAAGTGCAAAGATAAATGCAGCCATCTTCCGATTTTAATAAATTTCAGAAATGTAGGTAACAAATAAATCACTTCAATCGTCAGACTCTGAATTTATGAATTTCACCGATCCATGGATTTCGTTTAAGTAGACGTAAAAATACAGAAACTATGGACACATCACTGCCTTCCAACGCACAACGGATACTGGACTTGTGCGTAATAGTTAAATATCGCTTCAAAATCGCATGAGGAAAACAATGAGTCAAACGTTACTAAAGGTGCATCTTTATCAGCTGTTCAGTATCGCGAGCATGGCAGTTATTTATCACACTGTTTGCAGAGACAGCATCGATCGTTTTCACTCGTTACATTCTTGTGGATTCCTTCAACGTCACTCTCATCCTGCTTGAGATCAAAGTTCAACATCACCCTAATCTTATTCAAATAAAGCATCGCGATGCTCTATGCTACATTACATAGTTACATATATACCATGATATGTCATTGGCTACCATTGCTACCGCGCATCTTGCGATTTACGATAGCAGCGCCATCTTGACTGTAATTGATTGCAGCGCAGCATGCAGTTTGCACTTTGCATCTGATGCCCAAACACATTTCGAATGGCATTCGTGATCCTACTGCACGATATACAAGAAGAAACAGATGCTGCTATAAATTTTGGCGAAATACACGTATCATCGAGTGAGAGAATATTATTTAAAGCATTAGGACCATGCAGGATTTAAAAGAATCCGAAAATATGATTCCAATAGCTAGTCCTTTGCTATAAAATTTCTCGCAGTCACAATGATTAGAACTTTTTTTCATAATCTATTAGGTATGAAAAATAAATTTATATCTCTTATATATTTATATTAACTTTAATGTTTAAGTATCGATAGCAGAAAAACAGAATTTACTTTAAGTTTGAAAGAAATGGATAATATCTATTTGTATTTGGTAGATTGACATAATGATTTTGCCCTTTTGCTAGGTGTAAAATAGCGCACTGTCCATCGCTATGTAAAAGTTATAAAAAAGTCATTCTTTTTGTAACTTATATTTTTCATAATGCCCTAACCCTTTGGAACCAAATTGGAACGAAATTCAGATGGAGCGGTATCCGGTTTCAAACGCTGATAATGAGGCGATCTTTGTGATTCTTTTTAAACGAAATTTAGAACTAAATCTTTTTGGATTTATTAGGATAATTTGTCTCATATTCGCGGAATGTGCACTAATTTTTTTGTTAAAATACGTACGCTGGAAGTCCATATATATGTATATACACATTTGTGTAGAGTCTTAATACCGGAAGTGCAAGTTGGCGGGCATCTCGTAGCGTTCCATTGTTAGCTAAAAACATTCTTGCTATTGTTCATAGAGAGTAATTGTTTAATCTAGATTCCTTTTATATATTTTAGATTCATCGAGGACAGTTATCATTTAGCTGCATGCATTAGGACACGTCAATCGATCGGATAGTTCTTCTTCTATTATGCCCGCCAAATTCAAATTGATGCAAGCTGCATTTACATGAATACCCCGAATTTCTGTCTGAAACTTTGCAGATACAATTTCCATGTATGCTATTATCGATTGAAGTAAAAGAAAGTCGATCTTTCAAATCGGGTAAATCAGGTTTTCTTTTTTTGTTAACAAACATGTGGGACCAGAAATGTTTATTTCGATTTTATTTGCAGTGATCCGGTATATCAATCAATGGGAGCTTGTGGGCCTTATTTGTAATAAGTTGGGATGCTAAAGCGGACTTGAGCGTGCGAGGAACTAAGCAGGCAATTGCAGAGCTACCATCATCTCCTATGCCCTATATTGATCACGCGCTCTGCCAGTTCTTCCTCCCTCTTTGTCGCAGCGATTGCCGTTCTGATTTTACGGCGCACGTGCGCGAACATGTATTTACACACGGGATGCATCCAACGAATGTGAACGCATACGACACCACCACGGGCCTGCCCCTTCATTCTTCTTCCATCTTCCTAGTTCTAATGTTAGGATGCTCTCTTTTCGGGGAATGTTCACAGTCGCCCATTATCCGAGCTTCCTTTTGTCGATTCGCACACAACATGGTTGGCTGTTGGCTCATTTAATTCTCTCTCTTCTTAACACGTTGACTATCGCGTGACTCGTGCATCAATCATCTAATCACTTCTAAATTCAGTTAATTTACTAATCCTTTGGTGAGGATCGCCACTGTATTAATGACAAGGCTAATGTGTAATAAATAATTTAAGATCATACATTCTTGATATTGTCTACGAGTCAAACATCTTGATATTATTTTTATATTTTTCTCCTTATTTAAAATTATAAAATAGTAGAGTTATGCAACATTGGTTGTTAGTAGTCAACGTGTTCACTTTATTATCTGTTAGTTCATCTATTCAATGAGACACAATTCCGGATGATGATTGCAGAAACTTTTCCTTTCTTTCGTTGCATATGAAGGAACGGAGCGATAATCGAGCAAGATAACAATTACTTTCACAGTATCGCATCCGTATTTCGATCAAGGCCAAGGACCGCGAGACTATCGTGTGTTTGCTTTGGAACGATTCCAGTGGCTGAGCGTACCATAGGTAATACTACCATTTTGTTTTGACTACGGCCCGATTACTACTACGATTATTAATACCGGCGAGATCTCCGTAAATATAGATTCTGTCGAGAGTAAAATCGTTCAAAACAAGGTTAAAAAAACCGTTTTTATTTATAATACGTTATTACGGGGATAGATCGATAAAACGGGCCATTGAGAAGCCGCGTTCGGTGATGGCTACCGTTTGTTTTATCCTTCACGAAAGAAAATCTACGGTACAGCTTTCCATATTCAAACCTAGGGTATAACGTTCGTTACAAATTCTATTGAACATTCATTTGTCGTTGATTTCAGAAACTGCATCCTCAGATTCCGCCCCATTAATAAACAGGCTATTCGAATAGGGGATGTTAATTTCGATAATACTTTCCCGTATTATCAGGCATAATTGAACAAGTTGAAATCCTTCATTACAAATTTAGGGTTTATCATTGATCTAAGAGGCTTCACTCTGAGACCCGATATCGTCAGTCGTGATTAACACAGCGTGGTATCAGAATAGGGGATGGTATATGATATTATCGGGCATAATTCAGCATTCGAGCTAGTTACTCATTAAAAATCTATGGAATTTATTATTGATCCGAGGAACTTCTCGAGACTCCGTCTCGACAGTTAGGGAGTTAGCATAACAAGATATTCGAATAGGGGAAGCTTCAGTATACTATCCTATTAAAAATCTACGAAATTGATCACTAATCCAAGAAATTCCACCTCATCGATCAGAGGTGAGCCTACCAATTTATTCGAATAATGGGTGTTCCACTATTAAGCAGAACCAATCATTCTATTTCGTTAAAACCCCTATTAAAGATCTATATAATTTATCATTGATTTAAGAACCTCCGCTCCGAGGATACACCAGTCTGAGGCTCCACCCGGTTGGTCAAGCATGACCGTATCCAGCTCTTCCAATAGGGGATGTTTTATGGCATGATCGTTCGTTCAATCTAGTACTTCAACACACCCCATTAAAAATCCACGGAACGAAACTCGGTCTCGGAAAAATTGGACCAAGATACTTCGTAATCTGGAACTCTAGCCCGGCGATGCGGGGGTGATCACCCCGAGTGTGTCCGACAGTGGACGCTCAGGACATAATCAGACATCGTTCGACTGTTGTACCGTAGAATGCCGAGTCTCATTGTTAATTTACAAACGTTCGAAAGGGGTGAAAGCTCGGTCCGCTTCGCGTCTCGCGTAGGGGTTGCGTGCGACTCTGCTCGGCGAGGCTCGGCACGAGTGGGGGCGCGCGGAATCGACGAGGGCGCCGCTACGCGGCCGCCACTGTCGCCGCGACGCGGTGAGGGTTGAAGATCAGCGGGCGACGAGCGATGTCAGGGCTGCAGCCGCCGTCGGTTAACACGCACAGGTTCACACCCATTCTCGCTGAAACTCGCCAGCCTCTAAACGACGTCGCGGCAAGCCTTCGCGAGATTCGTCTCTCGTTCGACGATCAGAAATCGAGTCGGGTAGTGTCGGTGAATAATCGTGGTGATCGGGTCGTTCCACGGGCGGACGTAGACCAGTGGGAGAAACGATTGTGATCGAGACTCGCAGCGAAAGTAATACCCGTACCCTGGGAGGATCGAGTCTGTTCGTAGGGATGTCCTGTTGGACGAAGTCCTGTCGATCTTCTCGAAGGGACCTAGTCCTTCGAGGGAGGCGGGGATGTGAGTGCACCGCTTTCTAATCAGGACATTGCGAGTGTCCTTCGAGGAGGGAGGGTGCGAGGAGCAGGCGGCGGAGGAGTAGGGGGAGAGGCAGATCCATCCATCCATCCGGTGGTCCACAGGAGTCGAATTGCATAAGAGCCTAGTCGCGCGTTTGCCAGCACCGTGTTATGAAGCACCGCGGAGGATGTGCTTCTCCCGATCGGAAGCAGGAGTCGCCAGGACCCTCGTCGAGCTAGCACGAGGATAGCTGTCGGCGGTCCGGTGTCGTCTTACATTGGCGGGTGATCCTCGCGCGGTCCGAATGCCGCAGGACGGGAACAGAGCAACGGAGAGCAAGGATGCAAGGGGACAGGATGCTGGAAGCGAGCGAGGAGCCGAGTCCGGCGAAGCCTCTGATCAATAAGCCAGGAGTTCTGAGCCATCGGGAGTTCTGAGCTCGGTGGATCGTTCCGTGGAAGAGGAGACTCTGTTGCGAGGATGTAGGGGGGGCCCACGACCGGGGCCCCGAAGAGGGTTTCCTCAAGGACTGTCTCCGCGGACCGTTCCGCCTTGACGGGACACGGTGATCGTCGCGGGGACTGCCAGGTGGACTTGTCCGCTGATCCGCGAGCGGATTTCTCCCGCCGTCGACGAGTGACAAGAAGTTCCTTCCGGATAATAATCGCGCGCGCTTGGGGGATCACCGGCCGGGCCGGGGGGGCAAGGTTGCGTATCTTAAACCGAAAATACTCGTCGCGTAGCTCACTCTCTCTTTCTGTTCTGTTCGTGTTCTAGTCTCGTAGTCGGTGTGGAACCTCGGTGTCCTTAGAACGCCGCTGGCCCCGTTCCCCGTAGTGCGTCTCTTCGAGGGTGCAGCAAGAATAGGGGATCGCCGGCTCCGTCTTTTGTTACTGATCGCGAAGAACTGTGTGCGGCGTCGGACAGAGCGGACACCGAGGAAATATGCGCGTTTACGTTTACAGGAAGCGTAGATATTGTCGGTGAAAAGTAGGTCGCGCGAGGTCGATAGTACCATCGAACGTTAAGCGAAGATGCGAGAGGAAACGGAAGGAATCGCACGCGGCTACGACGACGTTAACATCGGCGAATCGTTTTCTCGGCGATGACGGGCCTGTGATATCGTGCGCGCCCGGTGTCAACGTTCTCTCTCTTTCTCTTTCTCTTTCTCTTTCTCTCAGTCTTTGTCTCTTCTCTCTTACTCCTTCTGTCACTCTCTCTTTTCTCTCTTCTCTCTCTCTCTCTCTTACTCTTTCTGTCTCTCCTGCCGAAACACCACCCGCCGCTCTACAGCATCTGACCGAGTAGACCGACCGTCTACCCGCTCGACACAGCGAAAATGGTCGATCTCGGGGGATACATTATCATACTGATCAACCACAATGACAAGATCAAACTGTACGGTGAGCATCGATTGCCCCTCCACACCTGCTTCTCTATAGATACAAGGCCGAGATGGGTGCACGAGTACCCGACCCGCTCTCTCTCTCTCTCTCTCTCTCTCTCTCTCTCTCCCTCTTCCTCTCTCTCTCTTTCTCTCTNTCGCGAGATTCGTCTCTCGTTCGACGATCAGAAATCGAGTCGGGTAGTGTCGGTGAATAATCGTGGTGATCGGGTCGTTCCACGGGCGGACGTAGACCAGTGGGAGAAACGATTGTGATCGAGACTCGCAGCGAAAGTAATACCCGTACCCTGGGAGGATCGAGTCTGTTCGTAGGGATGTCCTGTTGGACGAAGTCCTGTCGATCTTCTCGAAGGGACCTAGTCCTTCGAGGGAGGCGGGGATGTGAGTGCACCGCTTTCTAATCAGGACATTGCGAGTGTCCTTCGAGGAGGGAGGGTGCGAGGAGCAGGCGGCGGAGGAGTAGGGGGAGAGGCAGATCCATCCATCCATCCGGTGGTCCACAGGAGTCGAATTGCATAAGAGCCTAGTCGCGCGTTTGCCAGCACCGTGTTATGAAGCACCGCGGAGGATGTGCTTCTCCCGATCGGAAGCAGGAGTCGCCAGGACCCTCGTCGAGCTAGCACGAGGATAGCTGTCGGCGGTCCGGTGTCGTCTTACATTGGCGGGTGATCCTCGCGCGGTCCGAATGCCGCAGGACGGGAACAGAGCAACGGAGAGCAAGGATGCAAGGGGACAGGATGCTGGAAGCGAGCGAGGAGCCGAGTCCGGCGAAGCCTCTGATCAATAAGCCAGGAGTTCTGAGCCATCGGGAGTTCTGAGCTCGGTGGATCGTTCCGTGGAAGAGGAGACTCTGTTGCGAGGATGTAGGGGGGGCCCACGACCGGGGCCCCGAAGAGGGTTTCCTCAAGGACTGTCTCCGCGGACCGTTCCGCCTTGACGGGACACGGTGATCGTCGCGGGGACTGCCAGGTGGACTTGTCCGCTGATCCGCGAGCGGATTTCTCCCGCCGTCGACGAGTGACAAGAAGTTCCTTCCGGATAATAATCGCGCGCGCTTGGGGGATCACCGGCCGGGCCGGGGGGGCAAGGTTGCGTATCTTAAACCGAAAATACTCGTCGCGTAGCTCACTCTCTCTTTCTGTTCTGTTCGTGTTCTAGTCTCGTAGTCGGTGTGGAACCTCGGTGTCCTTAGAACGCCGCTGGCCCCGTTCCCCGTAGTGCGTCTCTTCGAGGGTGCAGCAAGAATAGGGGATCGCCGGCTCCGTCTTTTGTTACTGATCGCGAAGAACTGTGTGCGGCGTCGGACAGAGCGGACACCGAGGAAATATGCGCGTTTACGTTTACAGGAAGCGTAGATATTGTCGGTGAAAAGTAGGTCGCGCGAGGTCGATAGTACCATCGAACGTTAAGCGAAGATGCGAGAGGAAACGGAAGGAATCGCACGCGGCTACGACGACGTTAACATCGGCGAATCGTTTTCTCGGCGATGACGGGCCTGTGATATCGTGCGCGCCCGGTGTCAACGTTCTCTCTCTTTCTCTTTCTCTTTCTCTTTCTCTCAGTCTTTGTCTCTTCTCTCTTACTCCTTCTGTCACTCTCTCTTTTCTCTCTTCTCTCTCTCTCTCTCTTACTCTTTCTGTCTCTCCTGCCGAAACACCACCCGCCGCTCTACAGCATCTGACCGAGTAGACCGACCGTCTACCCGCTCGACACAGCGAAAATGGTCGATCTCGGGGGATACATTATCATACTGATCAACCACAATGACAAGATCAAACTGTACGGTGAGCATCGATTGCCCCTCCACACCTGCTTCTCTATAGATACAAGGCCGAGATGGGTGCACGAGTACCCGACCCGCTCTCTCTCTCTCTCTCTCTCTCTCTCTCTCTCCCTCTTCCTCTCTCTCTCTTTCTCTCTCTCTCTTTCTTTGTCCTTTTCTCTCTCTCCCTCTCTCTCTCTCTGGGATATTCGGGTACGGTGCATTCGAGTACGCCGTTCCACGTTATTTAGTGTCCTTAATACCTCGATCGTACCTCGCTTTTCCTTTTGAAAGTTGGATTCGACGGGGGTCGCGACCATTCCACGGGTCAATGTGACCCGATTCAGATTTACTGATTCAGGGGCCGCGGAAATTGCGGGGGTTGAATTTTTGGCCGTCGCGAATTTGTTGATTCCACCCATGGAGAATCACTGCGGAACGTTCGATGATCTCGGCAGAGGTTTTTAACGGCCTTCGAAATATTTTCGACTTGTTTTTAATCTCTTCTTATCCAGTTCGATAAGATGCATAGAAAACATTAACAAGGATTTGCCTTGCAATTAGAATTTCCTTAGACTAGAAAGTCCATCTGTCGAATTCATCTGTTATTTCTTCCAGGATCGAACTTTCGTTTCTTTGAAAGCTACGTTGATTTGAACTTTCTTGTTGTTAATAATTTTCTATCTAGAAAAATAATATTTGCATTTATTGTATGCCAAAGTTTAATCCAATGATCAAATATGTGTGAGAAAAAGAAGTAGCATTATTTTATTTCGTTTTAGTAGGAGTTCCGTTTGAAATCTTCGTAGCATAGTCCGACACAATATTGTAGGAGAAAGGGTTAATTCTAGAAAATCGTAGCGCTCTTTATTTTTACAAATTATTTACGTCCTTTTATCGAAACACAATAAGGAATGATTTACTTTCTGGGCCCGAAGATTCCATTTGGCAAATCGAGGTCGCTCGAATTTTTCAAAAATTACTACCTCGGAGCATGCTACCATCTCTAATTAGAGGACTTGTTCCCTGAATACGGGCTGAATTCGCGTTTAAATTTGAAATTGACCTGCACATCTCGCGTCTGGCCGTATGTGGTGGACGTCGGTAAACTAAAAAGAAAAAGAAGAAAAGGGGCAAAAAAAGAAGAAGTGATATTTCGTTGGCCGCCGTGAAAGAAGCTCGTCCTCTGCCGTCTTTAATTAGCAGCGGTGTTTGCCGTTTAATGAGTGGCCGCGAAGGTGGTCGTCAAGCACGCAGAAGTTTAGCTACACCTCCGCTTTGAAGCTTCTTTCATTAAAGCCATGAATATCGCGAAAAATTCTTCGTCCTGCTGCAAATAATCGGATCACTTGTCTGACCGGGCACCGTCCCTTTCTACTGTCCCAGCAGATATTGCCCGCGCCGCTGTTACATTCTACGTAATCCTCTTTAGTCCGTTATCGCGAATGATTTTCGTTGAATACAGGAACATTTTTCCCCCGCATACACACACGCATACTTACTCACTCTCTCACACACACACGTTCACATGATTGCTTGAAATTTGTTAGTAATTGAAACAATTTCGAACGGGTCGCAGGTTCGCCGGGCAACGTGGACACGCTGGAGGTGGCAGATGAAATTTTAGAAGTTAATGGCAGCACGTTGGAGAACGCCAGCCAGCCCGAAGTGATTCAATATATATACGAGGTACTTAACGTTTATTTATCACCGAAATTCCAGTTCGCGTCCGTTCCCCATGCGAGTCTATTAAAGCGCGAGAACCGGCGTTAAAGTGCCAAAAAGTTTCCACTTTCAAGATAAAGAGCCGTCGACGCCTCTTCCCTCTGATTAAACTCGATTTTCTTTCGGATTGCTGCCTCTGGCTGGAAATATTTGATTGAAATATTTGATGCGAGTATTTTCATAGAATTGTTGACAAATTCACTTAGACGTGCATTAAACATAATAAATATTATATGTACATTAAGCGAACGCGATGGATTATCGTGCGGATGAAATGTTCATAAAACAGTATACGTTCTCATGCTTTAAAAAACTAAACAAGTATTAGTGGCACGACGGGGCGTTGAAACGTTTCTTTCTTTTTAAACTTAGAACTATGAAGACAACGATAAAGATTGTCGACTTAAATTATACTATAAAATCTTGCATAGAAAATTCGGTTTGCTCGTTAATAACGATATCTTCCAAGAGACGTACAGAAAGTATAGAAGAAAAACGATAAATATGAAAGTTTATTAATTCGACCTGATCGAATAATTTCGCGGGAGCTCGAATGTTATTACGACGACTCACAAAATCCTTTTCTATCCGTAGTGCATCAAATCCCGAACAATATGTCTGCGGGTCCGAAGAAGAAGCGGAAACAAGAGGGGTGAGTGTCCATCGAAAAGCATTTTCATTAGCATAATTCCGCGGCGGGCAAGAAACGGGAATAGTATCGTAACAGTTGGCCGGGCAAACGTCTCGAATGACTTCTCATTAGGAGCGGCGCAAAGCGAGGGAAAAATCGATGTGCAAAATGGACCGTTAAAGAGGATAAACGTGTCACGTCGAACGATTAGAAGTACCAAACGGTATATCGATTTTCAGTAGCCGGCTCGATCGTGGCAGCAACGATAGGTCCGTTAATACAACGCGACAGGGTACGATTAAACATACGAACGCTGCCATTATTTTGCCGGCGGGACTCGTCCGCAGGATCGCGTGCCGCCATCTTTAATCGGTTGCCCGCTACCAATTAGCGGGAACACTTTCACCGCTGCGAATTATCCGGACCCCGTACATACCAATAATCACGAATTTTCCATGGAGCCGCAAGTTCTTCTCGGGTTCGAGGGCCCATGATTCTATTTGATTGCTATTTCACGGGGACCATTGCGTGTCTAACATTTTTTTTCAGATACTTGACAATGTAGGGTACATTCTTGATACTAATATTCAAAATATTCGGGTCTATACTCATCCATTTAAATATTTGGTAGCTGCAGTAAATTCTCTCCAATTTTCCTTCAGCTTGTAAATAAAAATGGACAATTTGGGAAGGGGATATTATTCGAGCCTCGCACCTCGTTAATTGTTGATAATCGGCCATTACAAAAATGAGCCGCGAGGCTCGAATAATCGTATTTCCTCTTCGCAAATTGTCTATTTTTTAGTGAAGAAAAATTGGGGTGAATTTACTGTATCTTGTTTGAATACCTTTTGGTACTACCGTCAGGTACCACCATCAGGTACTTATCATATTTTTTCAACTATTTGCCAATGCAGGGTTCACTCAGAATATTAATTTACCTACCAAATTCCAGTATTCCAGTATTTAGAAGTTTTTACTCCTGGCAATGCAATGTAAATTGAACATTTTTATTCATCCATAACTTTATCACAAGCGCGAGTACCTAGACCCACTTTTGGTAACTTGGCACTCAAAATACACTGAGAATGCACCCAAAATTTTCATCCACCCGTATATCCACCTCGAGTTCGGGTATCAATTTTTCTTCAACAATCTGTGTAAATTGAAGATATATCCTCGAGCGATTTCGCGAGAAAACGTTCTCTAGTAAATTAAACCAAATCGGTATCTCGATGAACAACATGTCCATAATTATTTGCAACGATTTGCTGTCACTTACGAGATCAGGAGGCAACATTCAATGTAATTTGTTTTCGAAGACAGAAATTACGTATGTACTCGAGCCAACAACATAACCGTGTCATTCTAAAGGAACATTCTAATGCAACGGAACGATTAAAAATTGTGAAAAAAGCCATTCGAAAATCGGCGTCAATCCCAGCAGCCGCCCTTGCGGAACAAAATCCGATTAACCCTCGGCCCTCGAACGATGCCAACCGAAACCATTGACCCAAAGGATTCCCTGACATCGCCAATCAACAAACGCAAAGCCCGACAAATAGTCCCATAAATCCTATTAAACCGACGAGTGCATCGGATCGGGAGAAACGGAAACAAAAAAAAAACAGAAAAAAAAGGAACGCTCAATTTCCGAATAATGATCCATCGAACCGTCCTTAAGCGAATCCGTGCGCGATCGTACACGTCCGACGAGCGTGTGTGTCATAGCAATTTCACTGGCGCGGTGTGCAGGTAAATCGTCGGCCGATTTCGTGTCTCCTCGTGCGATTCCGGCAGTTCGCCAGGTAAACGTTCGGGTCGCCGTAATCGTGACGCGAGCTGCGGGTATACGTAGTGGAGTTCGCGAGGACTGGAGTGGGGGGACTCTCTGGGCCCGTTGAACGGCTGAGCGGCGGGAGGCCGGAGGGGCCGGGAGGGGGCCCCGGTGTACGCCGCGGAGAACTCGGAGAGAGGTCCCAGGAGGAACCGAGCGAATCTAACCTTCGAATGTATCCGCTGTCACGCTCGGTCCTCGCTAGTACGGAACCGTCCATACGTGCCAGCGGTTCCGCGGTTCTCTGCCGTCTTCCTGCTGTCGAAACCGACAGTGTTCCGTGTGTCAGAGGTCGATCGGGTATAGCCGAGCGGGTACGAGTCGCCGCGTGTGATCGGTAGCAGGCTGGTGCACGCCGAGAGAGCGGCTTCTTTTCCGCGAGCCGTGCAAGCAGGAAGGAAGCGGACACGTTCGTGCTCCGACAGTGCTGTGCTGTGCTTCGACCGAGGCCCTACCGTGGTTCTCCGGGTTTCGCCGCTCTTCCTCCTTGCCTCCGCTTTCCCTTCTGGTCTCTCTTTCTCTCTCGGCCTGTTCTTTGCCGATCGGTTCTTCCCGCTGTTTCTGTGCGCGTGTGTGTCTCTCTTCTGTGTGCATCGTCGTTCTCTCGCCGTTCGCCCGCTGTCCGCTCGCCGGTCGACTTACCGGTCGACGGAAACCGGGACAAAGAGCCAGATGGCAGCTGGATACGTGGACGAGCGTACCAGGAGGCCGTGGACACGAGCCGACGACCAGCCACGGAATCTTTCCACGATTTCTGACCGGCGCCGTTACCGTTAATCGCCGATCGACGCTCGACGCTCGCTGGATCGCCGGCGAAAGGTGACCGATCTTTCTTCCCGTGGTTCCGGAACAAGCGGACGAACGTTCACGAATTAGTTACCTACTCGGCGCGGTCGATGTCCTACTTAATTCCCAGCGATTTTCAACGATTCTGGCCTATTTATGCGTTGCTTTCGTCGAATCGTTGGCTCGCGGCAATTGCCTGCGGGAGCCCACTCGTTTAGTAATCGTGGGTAACCAGCCTTGTGTCACCGAACTTTCCTTCCCCGATTTGGCAAGGTATACAATTGTCCGACGAATCGTTTGCTCGTTAGGATTTATGCACACCGTCATGCGCAAAATCCATGGAATTTGTCCAACCAGTTCTTAACGCTTGATTTTTGGAGCACCGCGAAAGCAGCTGTTCTTTATTAATTTATAGAAGTAACGATATTACATTTATTCCGATTTTTAACTTAAGTGTCACTGTCATATTTTCCGCAAGTAATGACACATCGATTGGATAAATAACTGATAAATGTATCTTCACGATCTGAATAATCGTAAATTAAACAATTCATGACAGCTAGTGTTACAGAATCTAGTCAACTGAAAAATCTAATATCCTACTTTGAAGGACGATTTTCATGTTTAGTTAGCTGGCAGCTGTCTTCTTCGTAATAGTAAACAGTCTAACCAGCAACGTCTCAGTCGGTCTGATACGTATGTTGGAACCATAAGTTTGAATTTGCTTAGATGTTACGGGTTCTCGAATCGAGAATCGTCATCAATAATTACTGTTCGTTTAAAAATTCTATCACCGTATCTTCGAGAACTATCTTCACATTCTCTGGTCTATTAGTAGATGTCCGCTTACAAGTAAACAGCACAACTGGCGTGACTCAATTAGCCTTGTAAGAAATGTATACAATTACTCGATGAATCGTTTGCTCGTTAAGATATATGCATAGGAGCATGCGCGCAACGCATGTAATTTGTCCGACCGAGTTCTTAAATGGATTCACTCGTTTAAAAAATCTATTACCTCATTTTCAAGGATTATCGTACATTATCTTACAGTCTGCTAACAGCTGTCCTCTTGATAGTAACCAGCGTCACTGTCACGTCACGCTCGCCGTACAAAGAACTCCAAGGTTGCTTTTACTTAGATCATTTGCAATTTTTACAACGTGTCCTCGAACGAATCGTTTCTTGCGGGGAAGCGTCATTAGGATTTCAGTAATTGCATTGGATTTTCACAGAGAACTCGATTGCGATTTTGCGTTCGAAAATACTGTTGAACACGGTGCGATTTCCATCGGAATCGCAGGACGTTGCTCAACGCTCGTTACCGACTCGCAAAGCGACGGGGCTTCAATCGACGGATTTTACGTTTCGGCGCATCGCGATCGGTTTTTCGGAGGCGGCACTCGCGTACTAAGGACACGTATTAAGGCCCCGTTTGGAGGATCGTGCACATAGAACGCGCAATCGTCCACGGTCGCGTGTGATACGGGCCGTATCTTTCACGACCGCCGCACAGTGGAACGAAACATCTATTTTCTTGGACGTAATCGGGCAACATTTACTGTCGAAATTTTGTACTGTAGCTTCGTTAAATCTTTAATAAGTATGTAAATTCAATCAAATGTATGTAAATTTGGCTGTTACGAAAATCCCGGCCTTTTTTTCTAGTTGCTCCACTTTAAATAATTATTAGACCGCGGATCTTTGTGCAAAATAAGAACCGTCCGCCTAAATTGCAAGACGCGGGAGCCGAGTGTTATCTTATTTCTCTCTTAAATAATTCTAATAAGTTGCAATTAACATATCAACATTTTTAGTTTATTTTAATTTTGTTTACCATTTCATGTTTCACCTATATTTCCCATATATGGGAATATGTTATGTTTCTCTTATATTTCCCATATTTCCCGTAAATGCAACCAAATCCACAATATAATAATTATTGCTTAAATCCTATTGGTCTATCAATGTTTTCCATATTATTGGCAATTTTATTAACAATGATTTCCTGCAAAAAGTCATTCTAACTTCATTTAAATTTCATCGTTTAACGACTGTATAAAATAAAAATCCATTGCACTCAATGCTATCGTAATTCAACTAGGTTTTGTTAAAAATCATCCAAGATCTAAAATACCTAAATTGACTCCTTTAGTGATAAGGTTTTAAGAAGTAGAGAAATTAGCCGCTGATAGCTGCGATTTATTTTATTGATCGCAGCTGTCAGCAGCTCATTATTCTACTTTTTAATCCTCGTTTTCTTCTTTCATTTCCTTGCGTTCAAGAGAACGTAGCGTAAGAATGCTACGATCACATATTAAAAATTCAATGTAGTTATAGCAGGAAATGTCGACGATTGGCCGACGATGTCCACGAAAATAGGTGTTTCGTTTCACTG